TGCTATTAATGGGTAAATCCACGAACTAAATGGTAATTTAACAGTTTGCGAACTTGAACATGGCCCAGTCGAAATCGTTGATTTACCCAGTAATAGCATGGTGATCTTAACCATAGTTTTTTGTTAACCTTTACCAGAGGGTAACGCCTGCAACAACTTGGAAAAATGAAGCTGGCAGGACCCGAACTATCTGTACATTGCAATGGAACTGGTGGTAGGTGCGGCAGTTCAGCAGTGGCAACATGTTCCAAAGCATTAATGGAGATCCCAAGGAATCCCCAGGATTTTCATGCAGCGAGGATTACCATCTGGTTATGACTAACAGTTCGCCATGGAAAATCCCCAAAATAAATGGAGGTTTCTAGCTGGGAAAATCATCTATAAATGGGCCATCTATACCATGGCTATGTAACAAATAACCAGAGGATTATCATTCAACAGTACTACCTGCCAACATTTTTCACTTGTGCCCTGACATGTTCAGGGGGTGAGCTCTTCAATTTGCTCCGCGCCAAGAAAAAGTGCCTCAGCGGCGATGTTCACAGCGCCCGGGTGGCCCCTCCATTGGGGGGGTGCTAGCGCAATGATGCGCAATGTTTGAAAGGTTATGGAGATGCTTATCATTGGGTAAGTCAGAGGTTCTACGTGTAGATGTGTAGTATCATTTTTTGAACCAATAAAAACAACACAAATTGCTGGCTGGTGGTTTGGAACATGGCTTTTACTTTTCCATTCAGTTGGGAATTTCATCATCCCAACTGACTTTTACTCCATCATTTTTCAGAGGGGTAGGTATACCACCAACCAGATATGGTTTAATAATGTTTAATATGATTTTGATATGGTTTAATATCCTATATATCCTATATCTAACCAATAAAAAAGCAACAACAATTGCACTGTATGTTTCCCAAAAGAGTGACTTTCGGATGATTTCAGATGGGCAAAAAATCGGCAGAGTGGCATCGCTGAGTCGCTGAGGTTTTCGGAAAGCGAGACCCAATTTTTTGCTGCGGAGGCACGGTGGAAGTGCATCTCAGTTGGGTCAGTGCTGCATGGTTTGCAGTATGGTACAGGATGGGGCCCCCCAGTGATGTGAATGTTGGTTTATAAACCATCATAATCCCCATGAATACTATAGTTATATCTACCATAAACCATGGTTTTTTCGCCACTTATAAACCAACTTAGCTATCTTGGGGGCCCCATCCTGTATAGTCTAGTCGCAGTATATGGTGGTTTCTTGAAATCGGGAATTCCAAGACCATGTGTTTCAATACTCATTAAAATGACTAAAATGTCTAATTTGGATAATTTGCGGTATCTGCACTTTAGGAAAGCTCCATATGTGAGACAAACTCCAGTATAATTGTTTTAGTTATGAACTACATGGCCGCATTGAAGTCCTTGCTAATTGGGATGCATATCCACGGAATGAAAGCAATGTTTTTGAAGACAATGGTACAGTAACCAGGGATCGATAAAGCCCACAATGTCCACCAGTGGGGTACCATCATGTCCAGCTTCCATAGGCTGATGAGATGTGTTTTTTTGGCACAGAATTTTCAGCCATTTTGCTTCACGTTTGACATCCGAATTGCTGAAATAGCATGTTATAGCCATTTGATGTCGATGATACATCATAAACGTATAATATAATTTGTAGAAACCTGGATTTCTACTAGTTGAATGGTTGTGAACCGGTTGATTGTTGGATATCTATGGATATCTCATGAACCCCCATATCCATCTCCATCATTCCCCTGAGAATTCTCATAGCGAAATCCTATAAACCACCAATTTGGGATGGTTGAAACCCCAAGAAATTATTATGGGATGTAAACACCACCAAATCTATCAACTGGTTTTGGATGGATTTCGCTGGCCCATCCACAGTAGATGATTCATGAAGTCGAAGTGGTCGAACCGCAGGTTGCCTCAGCTCTGTTCCACCTTCACAGCATGCTGATCGTCTTCAGGCGATTCTGTTGGGAAAATTACCGGGCTGGGTGCCCGGTTTGTTCGTAGGATTTTGCACTCGTAGCGAGTGTCATAAGTTTAAGAATGGCTTGTGGGGTGTTTAATTAAACATACTGTAAACCAACAAAAAACCCATCACAAAGGAGTTTTAACCAACAAAAAACCCATTCAAGCAAAGCGTCACAAGGGCTGGAAAAAAGAGGACCAACATATCCAGGGATTCGAGATATCAACCATGCAGAAAAATGAAAATCCATGGCATGTCTCCAGCTGGGAACCACCCATGACTGGGAATGGTTTATGCTACCTATAAAAATGGTGACTTGGGGGATTGTTGATGATTGTTTTACCCACATTATAGTCCATTCCAGGGTTCCAACTTTTTTTTCTCTTTATATACTATACCTGAAAAAACACATGCATACCAGCCTCAAAATCCTTGACTGCCAGGGACCTGAAACCTGAGAACATCCTGGTACACAGGTTTGGCTTGGGAAGGGATGTGATGCTGGTGATGATATGTCCTGGTCAAAAAGTGTCCTCTCCAAGTCATCTTTCGGTTGGTTTCATCTTGTGGGTCACAGTTTCATCGCGAGTTTTTCTGCCTCCGCGCACGTCAGAACTGGTCACATCAAGTTGACGGATTTCGGCTTCGCCAAATACCTCAAGGCTCGATGTGGCGCTTGGAGACTCTTGGAGTCATGAGAAACCCGAAGTGATCATCTACCCGAAATGGCTATAAAATGGCCCATAGAAATAGATGGTTTTCCTATTAAAACATGGTGATTTTCCATGGCTATGTTAAATAACCAGATGGTAAGTTATTGGCTCATTCTTAGTTGGAAACAGCCACATTAAGGTGGTCAGATCTTAGCCCAGTTGAACGGGAAATATCTCCCAGTCATCTCCAAGCCATACTGCGGATTTTCCCCTTTTTCACCGACCCATAGCCGTGAGATTGGGGACCAACATATCTTCCCTTGGCCAGGGCCGACTTCAAGCGAATCCTGGCTTTGGAGCTGCTAACCCTCTGGTAAACTAAGAGTTTGCGAACTTGAAAATGGTCATTTAGTTCGTTGATTTACCCATTCAAATGGTGATTTTCCATCGTTTTTTGTTAACGTTTACCCGAGGGTAAGCCACACGTCAAAACCATCACTACCCGCATCAAATTGGCAAAGGCCCTGAGGGGCTCAGGATCTCAACCAACCACGCTTTCCGGCTCGAGCTGCTCGCTTGTCGGGCCAGCAAGATAGAACAGGTGCAAACGAAACAGAACGTGCAGATCTATGATTGATCTATGGATTGCACCTGAGCTTGAATTCTGGCCCAATTTTGGAACAAGAACGTGATATGAAAGATCATTTGGCCCATTTTCTGGTGTTAATCTTTGGGACGAAGAAACCGAAAAGGAGGAACAACACTTGAGCTGTAGACAGGGATCCCAAACAAGATTTCCCACAGGTACAATCAAAGAAATTACTCAACATCTCTCTGTTACTCGACATGAAACGCCAGTCTTTCCCGCTATTTCTGTCATCTATTCTGAGCAGTTTCAATCATCATCCCTGTGAGTTGATTTCCCTGTTGGGTGATTTTTTTTGGGGGCCTTGATGATCCTTGATGCATATCTATCCATCATACATGTCTGTATATTGTCTCTGGTTGGTGGTTTGGAACATTTTTGTTTCCATATATATTGGGAATTGCATCATCCCAACTGACGAGTTGTCCATCATTTTTCAGAGGGGTGGCTCAACCACCAACCAGTACTCCATGGAGCGATGCCTCCGGACATGGCGATGTGGCGATGGAGGTGGATGGGCAGATTTGGAGGGGTACCATGAGATACCCACGGTTTTATCAGAAACCCATATTTTTTTTGAGGTCATATGCTAAAACCCAAGGATTATGGATGATATGGATTATATGTTATACAATTATTGGATTATATGGATGACATAAAATGCATGGAATCATATAAAACCATATAAAACCCTTTTGGATGACACCATTTTACCATATTTTTCAGAGGTGTATGAAGAATATGAAGAGAAGCGTCAACGCAACATTTCCACGACATTTGCACATGTTTACGTAGCCATGCTGTTGCCAGATCTAGCTCTAAGACCGGCCACGATCAATGGATCAATGAGCTGCAGACGTCGCTGCATGTTACTACACCTGCAAACCTAGGCCTATATTATATATCTGGTTGGTGGTTTGGAACATGAATTTTATTTTTCCATTCAGTTGGGAATGTCATCATCCCAACTGACGAAGTCATTTTTCAGAGGGGTAGGTCAACCACCAACCAGTAGGCCTATATGACGTTGGACCAAAGATAACCTACCTGTGTTTCGTGAGTCAAAAGCAGAAACACTTGGTGATATCGCCGCCAGTCTCAGCCCCTGTCGGGCGGGGGTCGCTTTGCCGCAGGGCAAATGGCAACAGAATTTGCCAGCGAACCCAGAGTTGTGCGGCTGGTCCGAAGACTTTTTGTCTTGACCCCAAAAAATCAACATCAGAACTCACAACTTTTCATCTTTACAAAGCTCCATGTGGATTGGGTGTCTGCAGTTTCAAGCAAAAAAGATTCCACTCGTTGGGTCGCTTTTCTTACATGCAAGCCTCAGCCCAACTGGCTCAAGTGCCAAAGTGCCAAAGCTGGGTGGTGCTTTCCATCGTAAGGTCCTGGGTAGAAGTCGTCAGCTCAGGTGTTTTTTGCATGGAAGGCAACACGTGACCACCATTCATCTCGTAGCAAGCAACTGGGGTGAACACAGATGTGGCCGGAGAGTCATCTCTTGTGTTGTAGGGTTTACTCATGTTTGCTCTCAATGATCATTTTTGTTTGGTTCCAAACATTACATATATTACATCTTCATCATGAAAGTAGAATCCGATGATCAGCAATTGACTCCTTTCTTTTGAGATGCGGCAGGCTCAACAACCAAACATATGTTTTTTGGATTTCGAAGAAATACCGAACTTCAATCCGATCCCTACTGCCTGGTGCCATGTCACTTCATAGCTTTCTGGGCTTTCTGCTCCTGCTGGCCGCAGCTTGCAGTGCGGCGGACAGCACGGGGGGTTTGAAAAGGTGCTGGTCATACATCGTAGCAGATGGGGATTTTGCATTTATTTGCAGTCACGTATCTGCAATTTACATTTATTTTCCATTTATTTTCCATTTATTTTCCATTTGTTTGGGGATGTTCCATTTATTTTCCATAAATTTACTTTGTCACTCTATGGATTTAGATGGGGATTTTCCATAAATTATTCAGAGATGCATTTCCCAGCCATGATCAGCAGCTGCTGCGGTCCACCTGGTGACCCTGCAGTTTGGCTTCCAGAATCACCTTCCTGTCATACCCTCTGGTAAATATACAAAAAGCTATTGAAAATGGCCATTTATAGTGGATTTTCCCATTAAAAATGGTGATTTTCCATAGTTATGTTAAATTACCAGCGGGTATTTTTTGAAGTCCTGGGATCCATTTCAGTACCATTTTTTGGTTTAACGGAATGACTTGCCATGAAAGAAACAGGGGTAGCCCCATGACTTAGGAAACTTCCGCATACCCTCTGGTCAACGTTTACATAACGAACTGGAAAGTCACCATGATATCAATGGGTAAATCCAGTATTTCTATGGCCATTTTCAAGTTCGCAAACTGTAAACGTTTACCAGAGGGTAAGTTGAGTTGATCTTGAAGATCCAAGCGGTTTCCGCCTGAACTTGTACCAGGAGTTGCCTTCTGAAGGTGCCAGGGATTTGACGGCTTGCGTTGAAACAACATTTCTGTCGTGAAGCAACTTTTAAACGCCAAGACCTTCCAACTTTCAGCATCAGCATATCCTGTAGTAGAGAGTCCGTTTATAGAATTCACATTCCCAATCTCAGCCCTGCGAAAAACTCGATTTCTTAGCTGATTTTGGATATATGTTCTCTAAAGGACCAAGCTATCCATCCCAGGTTTCCCCGAATGCTGGGGTATTGAGGCTTCCGCGACTCTGATTGGTCGTTAAAGTTTGTCTGGGGTTCTGTACGGTTTTAGGGCTTCTCAAAGATTTATTCTAGAATTCCCATCCAATAACTTAACATAGCTATGGAAAATTGCAACTTCATAGATGATTTAGCTGTTAATGGTGATTTTCCATAGGTACCCTCTGGTAAACTAACATAACAAGGAAAATCACCATTTTTAATGGGAACATCCGCCATAAATGGCCATTTTCAATGGCTTTTTGTATATTTACCAGAGCGTATGTAACAGATGACCAAAAGATGGGCTGTGCGTTGCTGCGAAAGAATGACCGTCGCACATGAAAACAAAAAACGTCGCCACATGGCAGTGATGGCAGCACCATGTTCCCTCGGGCAGCACGTTGAACCCCCAAACATAGCTTTTAAATAGCAGCCAGGTTAAGCATGCCATACTTAATGATATGCAATATATGGCTTTTAAAAAGCTAACTTGAATGCCATGCTTACACCCAATATTATATAGCAACCTTCAAATAACATGGATAGAAGAGTTGAAGGCCTGGACATTATGAGGGAACAAATCATACTTTTCACATGCTGGAAAGACGTTTCTATCTTTTCGGGGATCACTCTATATTCTGGCAACATTTGTCGTGGGCCAGATGCTAGGGTTTTGGCATCCGATTTTTGTTCTTTCTGACAAAATCTAACCTCATTCCATCTAATTTTTTGATTGGTTGCAAAACCCTTGTAGGATCCCCCCAAATAGGAACATCTTCGAAGGAGGCTGTGATTTTGCCTCATAAGCTTTAGAGGTGTTCACGTGAAAAATTTTCTGGTTTGGAGTTTGTTAATCTCGTCTCCCCAATATTAAACCACCCATAAATGGTCAAAGATATGTGTACAGTAAATCTCTACAAAACCCTGAAAAACCATGATTGTTTTGGGGTGGCCAGGGATTTTAGATGGCCCTATCCGATGCAGCCTGCGGAAAGGCGGTGTTGTAGGGGTTGAGGAGCAGAAGGTCATTTTCAAAGGTGCGATTTCGGGAGTGAACTGAGGGAGAAAAAGGCCATCAAAACATAGAACACCAGAAAACGAATATTACCCTCTGGTAATTTAACATAGCTATTGAAAATCACCATTTTTAATGGGAAAATCCACTATTAATGGTCATTTTCAATAGCTATGTTAAATTACCAGAGGGTAAGCCATTTTGCAGCAATGGTTCAGAACATCACGTCCCATCGTTTACAAACAAATTCACCCTCGCTTCGAAAATTCGTGCGGAAACACAATTGGATAAGTTTGGTGAATCTGGCTGAAGCATCAAGAACGGGATATGAGCCAAGCTCCAGCCATGATTAGCCATGTTTGATTTCCAGAGGCTTTTTCATTTTTTTCTCATCCCATGATTATGTCAAACCCCCATGAAATCCCATGAAAAATGATGGTAAAATGATGGTGAAGTTCCCATGAATTTCCCCATTCAGTTCTAGGAATGGATCTACGATCCAGGTGTGGCGATTCTTTTACCGGACCCGGTTTGGGAGGAAAAAATCTGGAGATTGAAAAATATCGGGATGGGTCAAAACCTATTTCCAAATCCCAGATTTTCCATTCAAAATGGTGATTTTCCATAGTTATGTAAACGTTTACCAGAAGGTATTTCCAAATCCCCAATATTTGGATGTGAACAGTATCCCATGGCTTTTGATCCATAGCTATATATATAAATATATATATATACATGGGGACATGTTTCATACGCAGCTGATTTGTTACTTTGTTTTGGCAGCTGATTTGGATGGCTATGATCCGAATTGACTTGTACATGCTGGCTTCTTCTCCCCATTTGAATAGATTCTAATAATTCGATGTAATTAGTGGCCATTTTCCATCTTTATGGTCATTTTCCATCTAATTACTAGAATGGCCATTAGATACTTCACATAATATCTAGTAATTAGATGTAATTTTCGTATACTAAAAACATACGTCCCGTATGTGTTTTTTTAGGCCATTTTCCATCGTTATGGTATTCCCTATGGCCCATCCCATCTGTGACTTCAGATGGGATGGGCGGAATTCCTGGAGAAGAAGAGGCACCGGTCCCGGGGTCCCTAGGGTCCTGGCGGGACGATTTGATTTTTTGTCTGGCGGTTATGACCCTCAAAGGGGTTATGACCCCCAAAAAACTAGCCAAGTTGGACCAAAAATTGGAATTCATTGATGAGTGATGGCTAGTTGATGGTTGATTGGTTGTAAATTTGGGAGCTTATATTACCTGGTATGTAGAGGATTATCATCATCCATGAACTGGGAGTCCCAAACTATTACTGAAGCCAGTGCAATGGAATGACGCAGGGTTTTGAACACAGCTCATTAGGAAACTGTTTGCTGGACTATTTGAAGTACATATTAAATATTAATACTGTAGTTCCATAGTCTAGAGTACTAGTACTATATGAAGCTATTTTTGTACTGTCTGTGTATGTAATGACCACAAACAAAATCCAACAAATGCTTTGACCAAGATCTATTGCACCTCTCAAACAGATGATTGTTCAATCATATTGCCCTACCTCATAGCATGTTTCCAGGGGGTGATCTGCTTTTACAGATTAGGCGAATACCTTGAAATTTGCAGTAGCCCACCCTGAACTACCATAGTATCATCATCGCAATTCTAGGAGGTTTCTAGCAGGGATCTAGGAGTCTACTCTTCCTGAAAGTGGATGTCAACCCTGAAAGTCACAAGTCACACCGAAAGTCGTTGGCTGCTTTCTCCATCCACAGGCCCTTGGTCAACAGTTCTTGGGTTGCCTGCACCAGTTGTATTATGGATGCAACATGTGTGTATATAATATATATATGATCATAGATGTACGTATATACGATCAATGATAGATCACATGCATATACATATTTTACATCACATACATATGACACATCACATACATAGAAATACAATATATATATATATATGTATATATACACATACAGAAATGACAAATGACAATGAAATGACAAATGTTGCTTGCGCCCGCCGTGTCGCCGTAGGAACACTTCACGCGAGAAGATATCAGCTGCAGCTTCATGTTGATGGGCATGTTCTTCTTCACCATGGCCAGCTGGCGACAAAACAGGGGCACCATTCTACGAATGCAGAAGGAATATGAAGGAATTAGGATTGATGATGGAAAAAATGCGAAGACATGGGAATTCCATGGGATTTCCAACACTATCATTATACTGGTGGCATGGGGATGTTTGGAACGGATGATGGAGATGAAGAGATCCGAAAGCTGAGAGCTGACCTCGACATATCTCAACCTTATGGACTGATGAAGCCTCTTAACTTTCACATGAACTATCTAGTCCATTCCATCCATTTTTTCCATTCATTTTTTCAATCTTCCCCAAGACACCGGGGTTTTGACTCGTCCCAGGTGATCTTCTACTTGGTGAACTACCCAGATGACGACATCAAGCCTCTCGGCTTCGCGAACCGCGAACCGAACGGGTACCCTCCGGGAACGTCGGCATGGAACCTGGCCGTAGATTTTAGCCTCGGGTAAACGTTAACAAAAAACGATGGAACGTCACCATGCTATTTTCATGGGTAAATCAACTATTTCGACTGGGCCATTTTCAAGTTCGCAAACTGTTAACGTTTACCAGAATTTAGCAGGAATTTCCATGAAAATAACCATTAACCACTATTAACAATCATTAGTCATTATTAACCATTAGCCATTAACTGTAAACGTTTACCAGGCCGGGTAAGTATATTGACAGTACGATCAGTTGAATTCAATCATCATCAGGACGATTCGGTGAATGTGGGGTTTTTCCCTATTGCCGCGGGCAAGTTTGATCCCAGAGATGTAAAGGTATAGGAGGGCAAAACATATTACCCTCTGGTAAACAAACATAGCTATTGAACATGGCCATAGAAGTAGTGGATTTACCCATTGACAATGTTGATTTTCCATAGTTATGTAAACGTTTACCAGAGGGTAGAACCAGGAGTCCATTCTTTTGGCAAAAAGAATCTGTATCCACATCCACAATACCACCCAGAACCTTCTATGGAATTTAGTGGCCCCATTCACATGGGGGCCTTAATTATTTGGGGGATATGATCTGGGGATGGGTTTTCAGTTTTTTCCAACGGAACTTTGAGGAATTCGCAAATGGATGTGGCTGAGGCGATACTCTTGGTCCATCATCAACACCACCATCTCCATCTTTTGCGTCCGCACCCCAGCGGCTCTACGTTGGACGTGGTACGAGCGAAACCCTGATTTGTTTTGGCTCAGAGAAACAAAGCGCAAGGTCGCAAGGCCTTAAGTTAAACATGCTTTCTCCTGGCTTTTGCGTCGAGAAATGCGGGTTCCGGCCACTTATCTTTCATGGCTGCATGTCTTGACAGCGGCCAGATTCTGTTGACTTACATTGAGAACATTTCAACACAATTCATGTAGGCAACTGTGCCCTAGTGCGTGATCTCGTAATTTGTGAAATAGACTTGACCATGAAAACCAGACAATACATTGGCCTGAAGCAAGTTGCTGAATTATACCTTATCTTTATTGACGCCATGCCAAGAGGTTTCGTGTGCCAACTTCATTATCACGGAGGTGGCTCTTTGCTTTGCCAAACTTCCACGGGAGATTCGTGGCAGTTGCCTTTTGCTCACGCCCCGCCACACGTGCGGATTGGCCACACCGTGACGTTTTCACTAGCTGCGGATCGGGCAGATTTTGCGGTGGATCTGGAGATAATCAAGGAGAAAGCTACAATATCTTCAGCAACTGCAGAGGTGGGATTGCGAAGTATCCAGGAGAAAGCAGCAAAGCCTGCGTCCTCCTTTGCAAAACAACCTACCAGGAAGCTGCAACGAAGTATCGCCAGATTTCACAATGCAGATTTGGAAGAAAGGCTTCAGATGATTGAAGCTGCGGAAAGTTTGCTCAGTGACTTGTTGAATGCGGTCGAGTTGGATGGTGATGCCATCTGCAAGTTGCTATGTCGCTGTGCTGGATGGCTTCATGCACCAGGCTCCTTCGAAGCGAAGCACGTAGCAGCCAAGGTTGCTGCAAGCCAGGTTGCCACGGTTTCTCAGCCTAGCGACTTGCAGGGTCGGGTGATCTCGGCTTTGAATTCCTTAGATTTGCGCGACATCACAACCTACCAGGCAGTTGAAACAGCTGTGCTGTACATTTTTGAGCTGATGCAGGACAAGGATATCTTCTTCTCTGGGAACGGAAAATCGCTTGCTGTGAGACAATGGCGGCAACTTCGACAGTTGCTGGTCACAGACGATGCACAGCATGGCCCAACAAAACGGAAAGCATCAGATGACGCACCTGAAGTCCTCAAAGAGAGGGTTGCCAGAAGGATTGTAGCAAAGGATAGGTCGGCGGTCGTTGACGGCCTGTATCGCCCCAATGAACGCGTCAGGAGTTTGCCATCCGTTTATGAGGCCCTTGACCAAGTTGTCCTGTTGAAATGCTCCAACTGCGTGGAGCGTATCAGCACCAGTTGGTTTTGGAAACATCCCAGACATGGACGAATTCGCGCCCTAGTTCCGTCCAGTGGCCATAGCACCTGCAGGAAGTCGCTGGGAAAGAGGTGTCCTTGGATTTCTTTGGATGGCACCTACACTTGCTTGGACAAATTTATCCACTTGGATTTTTGCCACCACAACTGCCAACGGTCAATTTGCAAGCAGTGCGGTGGGACTAGCATTTGCCTCCATAATCGCCAAAGAACGTTGTGCAAAGATTGTGGTGGTAGTGGGATTTGCGCTCACAACCGCCAACGGTCATTTTGCAGCGGTGGCAGTGAAATTTGCCCTCACGGCCGCCAACGGTCGCGTTGCAAGGAGTGCGGTGGCAGTGAAATTTGCCCTCACAATCGCCGCCGGCACCGCTGTTCAGTTTGCAAGAGTCAAGCCCAGGGATGAGATGTGACATGTGCAGATTCAAGTCGCCTTTTGCATCCTTTTGCGCTGTATAAACTGAAGATTCACACTCGTTATGTTTGGCCCCTCCCACGATATTGCCAATCCCGATGAATATTGGCTGAATCTTCTTCGACGAGAGGTCACGATGAGAGTGTTCTGATCTCCAAGAAACCTCACCAACCCATATTGTCAAGATCAGAACTACCTTTTCTTTGGGGTTTTCCTCTTCACTTGACCTTTTGCTTGGATGATCTTGGATGGCAATCTGCACAATCCCATGGCCAGCTAGCCAGCCACCTCGTCACAGGACACTGTATGCACTTGGAAAAAACCGAAAGGTGCAGAGAGTAGTGGCCATGGCAGTAGTTTTTTTTTTGATAGGGAGAACCTGATCAAGTAGGCGAGCTTACTTGAACGCAGCATAGATTCCTCAACCAGCAATGGCAGAAAGACGTCAGATTTCAATACAGTGTTTTTTTTGGGTAGGCACAGTTCCACATCCAGTCGACATCCATTTCTACCCTATCTGCGGCAAAAAGGCCTGAACCAACCAATGCCCTGTTAGAGGCAGAACCAAACTTGTGTGGATGATAACGCCCGAGCGAAGTTTCACCCCGAATGCGTCAGGGGAACCGGACATCCATTTTTTCGACTTTTTTTTGGGTTGAGAAGGTTATCCGACAATTGCGCATCAAAACCATTCAAAACCCACGTCTAACAGGAACATCAGTTTTTTCGACTTTTTTTTGTTGTGAAGGTTTGGCGGACATCAGTCGCCCCTGTTTGATGTTTGAAAACAGGGGGCCATGCACTGTATTGAGATTTAAGGCTAAACAAGTAAGGTTTGGGATGTATTGTCGGGCTCATCTCCTGAGGTTGCCGGGATGATTTGTGTGATCCTGAAACCATAGATTTGCCGGGCCATATATGGGGTTTCCTAAGTCATGGAGGTAGTCCAAGCTCGCTGGTTTGTTTCATGGAACATCTTTTTACAAAATGGATTATTTGGGGTTACCCTTGTGACTTAGGAAACCCCCATGACTTGTTGTGGAGGTCATCCATTTTCAGGTCCTTGCAGCCATGAAACGACAGTACGGTGTTCTGACGCAAAGATGTGCAGAGCCACGCCTCTGGAGGGCCGGCTGTCTTTAACTTTCCAATGCCAACATCTTTTGAGATCAAACGTTTTCTTATGCGACATATCTTCAAGTCCTAGCTAAACGTAGCCTCTTTGGTGACCGAGCCATTTGTAAACTAGATTTGCAAAAACAAATATGACCTACATTCATCATCATTACACATGAGCCTGGTGCTGCTGGCTGCGAGCTACTGCACCATATTTTGATTGACGCCATGCCAAGAGGTTTCGTGTGCCAACTTCATTATCACGGAGGTGGCTCTTTGCTTTGCCAAACTTCCACGGGAGATTCGTGGCAGTTGCCTTTTGCTCACGCCCCGCCACACGTGCGGATTGGCCACACCGTGACGTTTTCACTAGCTGCGGATCGGGCAGATTTTGCGGTGAATCTGGAGATAATCAAGGAGAAAGCTGCAATATCTTCAGCAACTGCAGAGGTGGGATTGCAAAGTATCCTGGAGAAAGCAGCAAAGCCTGCCTCCTCCTTTGCAAAACAACCTACCAGGAAGCTGCAACGAAGTATCGCCAGATTTCACAATGCAGATTTGGAAGAAAGGCTTCAAATGATTGAAGCTGCGGAAAGTTTGCTCAGTGACTTGTTGAATGCGGTTGAGTTGGATGGTGATGCCGTCTGCAAGTTGCTATGTCGCTGTGCTGGATGGCTTCATGCACCAGGCTCCTTCGAAGCCAAGCACGTAGCAGCCGAGGTTGCTGCAAGCGAGGTTGCCACGGTTTCTCAGCTTAGTGGGCCTAGCGACTTGCAGTGTCGTGTGAGACGTTTGTTGATCTCGGCTTTGAGTTCCTTGGATTTGGGGGACATCACAACCTACCAGGCAGTTGAAACAGCCGTGCGACACATTCTTCAATTGATGCAGGGGAAAGAGACCTTGTTTTGTGGGAACGACAAGTCGCTTGCTGTGAGACAATGGCAGCAACTTCAACAGTTGCTGGTTGCAGACGATGTGCAGCATGGTCCGTCGAAACGGAAGGCATCACATGAAGCACCTCAAATCTTGACGGAGCAGGCCACTAGAAGCCAGGACAGGTCAGCAGCTGTTGGGGGCGTGTATCGCCCCAATGAGCGTGTCAGGAGTTTGCCAGCAATTTACCAGGCCCTTGACCGAGTTGTCCAGTTGAAATGCTCCCGATGCACAGAACGTAGCAGCACCAGTTGGTTTTGGAAACATCCCCGAAATGGACGAGTCTGCGCCCTAGTTCCGCAGGATGGCCATCGAACCTGCTGGAAGTCGCTGGGGAAGAAAAGTCGTTGGCTTTCTTTGGATGGCACGGACACTTGTTTGGACAACTTCGAACACTTGGATTTTTGTAACCACAATCGCCAACGGTCGAGATGCCCGGAGTGCGGTGGCCGATTTCTTTGCCCTCACAATCTCCAAAGGTCGCAGTGCAAGGAGTGCGGTGGCCGCGGCATTTGCCCTCACAATCGCCGACGGTCTGTGTGCCATGAGTGCGGTGGGGGTAGCATTTGCGCTCACAGTCGCGAGCGGTACAGGTGTCCAGTGTGCAAGACTCAAACCCGGAAATATCAGGGATGAGATGCCCCCGCTTCTGCGCTGTAGAAACGGAAGATTTACACATTGTGTTTTGCCCCCTCCCAAGCTTTCCATGATATTGCCGCAATCCGGAGGAATATTGGCTGAATTTTCTGCGACCACAGTCACAATGAGAGTGTTTTGATGTCCAAGAAACATAACCAGCACAAATCGTCCAGATGAGAGCTAGCTTTTCTGGGGGGCTCCATTCCACTTGACCTTTTGCTTGGCAATCTTAGCTAGCCGCCGCAGCCACCCATTCGCAACCATACTGGAAAGCCGAGCAATGCAGAGAGGAGCGGCAGTGACAGCTTTTTTTTTTTGTCGGGGCAATGGGGCGAATGATCAAGTAGGTGAGCTTACCTGAAGGTAGCATAGATTACTCAATCGGTAGTGGCCAAAAGGCGTCAGATTTCAAAGCAATGTTCTTTTGGTGGTGGTTACGGGATCCGAGTCGCATCAACTTCCATTTTTTTGCCAATGTGTCTGTCCACTTTGATCCATTTTGGGTCTAAGTTCTACCCCACGTGAAACAAGGCAACCGGTTGACTCGCCGCCCTTGTAAGGGTGACAAATTTGAAATTGAGATTTTCGAGGCTAAGATACAAAAAGCTGGTATTTGTGGGACTTGTTCAAGAATTTGTACAAAAGCTAGCATGTGTGGGCAGGCGTGTGACTCAAGTTCCAAAAAATGTGTTTTGCCCACACGGTGAGTCAATTTTGATCTTCGAGTGCTAAAGAAATACATTAGGAATTCATGATTTTTATGTTATATACAAGTGCAATCTTACAAGTGCAATCCCTCACTGGCTCATCCATTCCTTTTCTCACGCGGCGAAGCATCAACGCCACAGTGCTTTGGGCAAAGTCGTTCCAACAGAATCAGTCAAGTTCCGTGGACCCGGTCTTAAAGCCGTCAAGAACTTTATCATTCCCCCCTACCTCCGCCCCCTCCTGTTGAGCATAAGCGAGCACGTGCAACCAGCCACATGCCAAGAACAACAACCCTTGCATGCATGAAACAACCATAGAACTGAAATAGCTACCTGGAGGACACCTTCCAAGTTGAAGATTATGGATTTCAAACGAGCCATGGTTGGTTCGTGTAGGGCCGGGCTATAAGAATCTATGATATCTATCTGCCGCTGTGCGGCTAAGGGGAAGAATATGCCCATGAACCAACCGGTTCCCTATTTGTGGGGGAGGCACAGCATCCAAACTTGTGTGAATGATACAGCCCCAGCGAGCTTTCACCACATATGAGCAATGAGCGCAAACATTTGAGGTTTGCAGAGAATTATGCGATGTTTTAATCAAATCAGAACCCACTTCTAACAGCAGCATGTGCTTTTTGATCAATGTTTTGTTGATTTTGTGGTGAAGTTTCAGGGAAATAGCCGACAGGTCACCCCTGTTTGATACTTGAAAATCTTGAAAGCAAGGGATTGTTGAGATTTGTAGTGAGACAGTTACTTTGTGTTTGGGATTATTCCTGTTTATCGCCACAAGTTTGTTCTACTTAAGGCTCGTGGCCTGAGGTTGGTTGAATGATTTGTGTACTTGATGAGACCATGGATTTGCCGGGTCATAGTCTTGTTGAGGTCATCCATGTCCGGCAGGTTTCCTTGTAGCCACGAAGCAGCACGATGTTCTGACAGCGCAAAGATGCCCAGAGCCACATCTGTGGTTGACAAAAGTCATTTTGGGCTGGCCTTCTTGCCAGCCATGTCAACATCTTTTAAGGCTTAAGGTCACGCATTTCGGTGATGATTCTGTTATAGCTAAGTGTGTCATGGTTTTTCGAACACGTGTGAAATAGATTTGGCAACAACACGCATCCAATACTTCAGGCTGAAATAAGTTGCTGATAGCCATTGCACCTTATTTTCGTTGACGCCATGCCTACAGGCTTCGTGTGCCAACTTCATTATCAGGGAGGTGGCTCTTTGCTTTGCCAAACTTCCACGGGAGATTCGTGGCAGTTGCCTTTTGCTCACGCCCCGCCGCATGTGCGGATTGGCCACGCCGTGTCGTTTTCTCTGGCCACGGATCGGGCAGATCTTGCTGTTGATTTGGAGGTAATCAAAGAGAAAACTGCCAAACCTTCAGCACATGCAGAGATGGGACTGCAAAGTATCCAGGAGGAAGCAACAAAGCCTGCACCCTCGTCAGCCAAACAACCCTCCAGGAAGTTGCAACGAAGTATCACCAGGTTTCACAATGCAGATTTGGAAGAAAGGCTTCAAATGATTGAAGCTGCGGAAAGTTTGTTCAGTGACTTGTTGAATGCGGTCGAGTTGGATGGTGATGCCATCTGCAAGTTGCTATGTCGCTGTGCTGGATGGCTTCATGCACCAGGCTCCTTCGAAGCGAGGCACGTAGCAGCCGAGGATAAGTTTGACAGAGATAAGTTTGATAGAGAGAAGTTGGTAGAGATAAGCGTGGTGAGACAAGTTGATAGAGGTGAGTTGATAGGGGTAAGTTTGAGAGAGGTAGGTCTGACAGAGGTACGTTGGCGAGGAGCAGGAAAAGGATGAGCGTGAGTAGGGCGAGGACGAGGAAGAGGAGCGCGGAATGGAGCACTGAAGAGAGAAGCCCCGCACTCTGATGTGGGGAAGAAAAACAAACATTAGCCGCAGTTGGCCGCCTTAAGAATTGTAGATGTCTTATCCCAACAGCTGGGGTGATGATCCCCAACTGGCTTGCATGTTTTCCACTAGGCTCAAGCCACGCGAGCCACATGGTGCACAGACCCTTGTGTGGTTTGCCAAACCTGTAATATGATTCTTGGAAGACAAGCTGGAGCCCTGACATGTTGTCGACGAGGTATGTTAAAAAAGTAAAAAAGGATGAGAGCTCCCAAATGTAGGATTTCATGATCTGGCAAATTTCAACTGAAAGGACGGAAAGCAGGTGACCCAGGGACCTGTTTGTCCAAGGATTTGCAACGGGGAGTTTGCCTGCCCGGACTTAGAAATCTCGTTTGCACAAGTGTGCCTTGTTTGACATCTGAACTTGCTTTTGTCTTGTCACGAACTGATAGCCAAAGAAATCTGATCTGTAGAGTCTAGCAACGCGGTGACCACATGCAATCCTGAACCATATTCAAGTTATTTCACCAGTTGGGGGCGGACGAAAAAAAACATGTCGCTGAAAGGAACATGTTCATGAGTCTTTATGTTGGAAACCCATGGAAACCCAATGTCTGTTGTCTACCCGTTTTTCCTACCAGGCAGTTGAAGCAGCCGTGCTACACATTCTTCAACTGACGCAGGGGAAAGAAAGCTTGTTTTGTGGAAACGGGAAATCGCTGGCTGTGAAACTATGGCGGCAGTTTCGAGAGTTGCTGGTCGCATGCGGTGCACAAAGTGGCCCAACAAAATGTAAAGCATCAATTGAAGCGCTTGAAGTGCCCGAAGACAAGGGTAGTCATTGACGGCGTGTATCGCCCCAATGAGCGCATCAGGAGTTTGCCATCCGTTTATGAAGCCCCGGACCGAGTTGTTCTGTTGAAATGCTCCAAGTGCGTGGAACGTATCAGCACCAGTTGGTTTTGGAAACATCCCAGACATGGAGGAACTTTTGCCCTTGTTCCGTTTCATGGCCATCTTCCCTGCACAAAGCTGCTGGGGAAGAAATGTCCTTGGCGATCTTTGGATGGCACGGACACCATCACTGACAACCTTGCGCACTTGGATGTTTGCGACCACAATCCAGCGGTCGCGGTGTCAGGAGTGCGGTGGCCCTCAAATTTGCCCTCACAAGCGCCGACGGTATTGCTGTTCAGTGTGCAAAACTCAAGCCCCCCAGTAATATGGCATGAGATGTGTGCACGTGACGTGTGCAAGTTCAGTTTGTTTGTTTGCTCCTCAGAAAGGATGCTCTCAGTCATCTGGTCCTTCCCAGGACTTAGTTGCAGTGCGGTGGAAGATCGGCGGAAGGCTGCATGAAAACTTGGCCTTAGCAAGTTGTAAGTGTCTGAATTTAGAAACAACTTTTCTTCGGGGCTTCATCTGAACTGGGTCTTGTTATGATAGTGTCAGCTCCTGGCGACCATGATTTCAAAGCCACTTCTAGGCTCGACAAGCCAGTCAGCGGACATTAGCTGAATTTGCCTGGGATGATCATGCAAGCACCGAAGCACCGGTGCAAAGAAAAGAAACGTGCAGAGAGCAGTGACCATGACCGCAAGTTTTGCTGTGCGGACTTTGTGGGCGAACCCAAGCAGGTTGGCGTATTTGAAGGCAGTGTAGGTTCACCACCATGATTATTTGAAAGGCATCAGATTTCAATGCCGCGTTTTTTTTCTAAACCGACTTGTGAGGAATCCAAATGAATCCATCTCACATCAACATCCGCCTACTTCACCTGAAACAAGCATGGACATGAAATAATTGTATGATCCACCTCTGGAAGTTGATTCTCCCATTGAAGATTAGGGATTTCCACCGGGCCATGTTTGTTTCAAGTAGAGCGGGGAATTTATCAAGGTCTCCAATGAACCACCCCCGTTCCGTCTTAGCAGCAAAACCGAATGAATGAGAAAGCCACAGCGGTCTCACTACAAACAAAGAAGGGGAACCACCCAGAACACGCATCATTTTTCTGATCTCTTTTTTGGGGTTCAGCGTTCACTTTATGAGGGGCGAAAGGTGCTGACCTTGCAATTTGAGTCAATTTGAGTCAAATTCCATATCTAATATATCTAGTCATCGGGGCTCATGACCTGATTTGAAGGGGGTAATATGACTTTGAAATTCGCTGGGTCATAGTCTAGTGATCCCAGGTACCTTGCTGCTTGTTTTGGAGGGGGGACCTACGAAAAAAAGTATTTCAGTAATTTATGTATATATATATATTTATATTTTTTAAATATATTTATATTATATTATATTATATTATAATATATTATATTCTAACATATATTTAGAAAATATAATAATATTTTCTGGGATAATCATCCGATTTGATGGGGCTTAATGGGGCTTATTTGATGTTGTGCGCCTGTCCGGCGCCCGCTGCAGGTTCCAGGGGATAGTGAACCTTGAAACATTTGGACATGCATTGACCCGGACACCACAAAACATCACAAAACTCCTACTTGGACATCATTGGACATCAAGAGGACCAACTTGGAATATGTTTTATTTTAATCTACTTTACATATGGCAAGTTGAGCCCTAAGATAGATCAATCAATATATGTATATATATATATATATATCGCTGAATCAAAAGGAACCAATGACATGCAAAAGCCTGGAGAGCAGCCATGAGCAGCCATGGGCTGGCTGGTGACGAAGAAGTGTAGCTGGAGCAGCACTCGCGTGGACTGCGGTTTGTGCTGCATTCAGCGCAAAGAGAGCAAGATCAGAGATTCTTTTCATGTCTTCATGTCTTCATGTCATTCTAATTCATTCTATGCTTGGAAGATTTTCCCAGAGATGTCCAAAATGGGCAGCCTCAGATGATCATGATGCATGGTTGCTGTCAGTCAGAGCACTGCCTCACAACCAGAATCCCGACACTATCAAAGCCTCTGCCACTGAGACTACTGGCTTCATCCCACGCATAAGAAGACCTCAGATTCGTGGGCATCTGCGAACAAGGTGGCGAAGAACTTGGGCCTGCCATTGCCGCCTTCTCGCGCTGATGTTGCATCTTGGATCACATGGTTTTCCACTTGAGCAGACGTGAGCAGGTAGGTCCAAACGTAAGCATTTTTTAGTTCATTGAAAATATGACAGGATGGGATCATAGGGCTACGTTAGAAGTACATGTACGGTAGAGGTACGGTAGAGGTACGGTAGAGTACCGTACCTCTACCGTACCTCTACCGTACCTTTACCGTACCTCTACCAGCACCTGCATCGTAGCTCTACAGTATACCCCTACAATATGCAGCATTATCAAGCATTATGAAGCAATGCTATGGGCCAAAGGGCTTGAAGTGTGGCGTTTGCAGTTCAGAAGTTGTGGCAGATATGGCAGGTACCCAAATCTATCCATAAATCAATCTAAAATATTATCAATCTACCCATATCCAAGCACTTGCTGGAGTCATATCGAATGACTGCTTCCGAAAAGAGTCTCCTGGCTTCACGGCTTCACCCCCAACTGCGGCGCAGGATGGAAGTGGAGTTTTGGAACCTCCAGAGTCCTTTGCTGAGGGACTCTTCATGCTGCAGTGACAAGATGTGATTAGATTGCGAATCGTTTTTGTCGCCGAACTTCTGAGTGTCTTCTGAGTGACAAGATGCTGCTGCTACTACTACTACCACCACCACCACCACGACTACTAAGTAGTAATAGTAGTACTAGTAGTAGCAATAGTAGCAGTAGCACATAATAGTAGTAGCAGTAGTAGTAGTAATAGTCGAAGTAGCAGTACTAGTAGTAGCAATAGTAGCAGTAGCACATAATAGTAGTAGTAGTAGTAGTACTACTAGTAGTAGTAGTAGTAGTAGTAGTACTCATGCAAGTACTAACTACTACTACTGCTACTACTACAGCTCGTACTGCTTTTTTGCGTTCTGCTACGAGTAGTACCTCTTTAAATTCGGTCACAGGAAGAAGTATGTTTATTTCTGTACCGTTTTGTTTTTGCATGCACCTGCGTGCAATCCCACCAACCTGCAGCTTTGCGCATTTGACAGGTGGCTAGTGGTGCAATGGCGGACCCCGCTATGATCTCATCGGACGTTGCCTGGTTGCAGATTGTGGATGGCGACATCGCCCATGGAAGACACATGTGAACGCAGTGAAACACCAGGCAAGATGACCAGGTTTTCGACTTGCATTCTTATGTGTAGTATTCGCATTTCTTCCCAGCCCTCAACATAATTCAACATATGTGTACTTGCATTTTGTGAGCACTGAGGCTTCAATGCTGGAAGACATGGCCCTCATGGCACCAGTGGACTCCCAGGCAAGGCTCCGTTCGCCAGTGCTCAACGAAAGGTAGAGTTGGGTGAAGGGAGGTGAGATACAGCAGCCATTTTTTCAGCGGGTTGGCAAGGCTGCTTCCGTATGTAAGCCTTTAGTAAACTGACAACAGAGTCCACGGCCGTACATGGCCGTACGACAGCTGAAGTGCCATACAGAAGAAAGGTTTGGAACGCTCCCAGCAAGAAATAGGCAACACCATATTCCACTACCGGAATGGAAGCCCCAAAACTGAAACCCAGACAGTCACCATGGCACAAGAACCACAAGGAGCACAAAACATCACAAAACTAGCATCATGGCCCCACCATGATTTGAACCCTGGTTGTTTTACCATGATTTACCCCTCCCCCCCCACAATGTGACTTTGGGAAAGGATGGGAAGGGGATGGAGTTCCCCGCGCTTATGGGTGCCGTCCGTAAGAACGGGTAATTGTTTGGTAGAGCGGGTGGAGCCAATTTTAAAGGGAAATCTATACATACGGCTGCCCTACCCGCGGCAGTGAACGCTTACCCGCGCTTATGGGTGCCGTCCATAAGAGCGGGTAATCCTGGCGTATGTTAGTGTACTTTAGTTGGTATACAGTTGGATGGACAGATCTGGCACCCCAAAAGTATACCAACTAAAGTACACTAACATACGCCAGGATTACCCGCTCTTATGGACGGCACCCATAAGCGCGGGTAAGCGTTCACTGCCGCGGGTAGGGCAGCCGTATGTATAGATTTCCCTTTAAAATTGGCTCCACCCGCTCTACCAAACAATTACCCGTTCTTACGGACGGCACCCATAAGCGCGGGGAACTCCATCCCCTTCCCATCCTTTCCCAAAGTCACATTGCGGGGGGGGAGGGGTAAATCATGGTAAAACAACCAGGGTTCAAATCATGGTGGGGCCATGATGCTAGTTTTGTGATGTTTTGTGCTCCTTGTGGTTCTTGTGCCATGGTGACTGTCTGGGTTTCAGTTTTGGGGCTTCCATTCCGGTAGTGGAATATGGTGTTGCCTATTTCTTGCTGGGAGCGTTCCAAACCTTTCTCTGTATGGCACTTCAGCTGTCGTACGGCCATGTACGGCTGTGGACTGTGTTGTCAGTTTACTAAAGGCTTACATAATACGGACGCAGCCTTGCCAACCCGCTGAAAAAATGGCTGCTGTGTCTCACCTCCCTTCACTCAACTCTACCTTTCGTTCATCCCTGGTTGCCCTCAAGTTTCCTGGGGTCTTTGGTCACGCTAAGGTGCAACATCACACGTGAGGATTCCAACAGTGTGGGTACATGTGATCACACAATAAATCACAATATCACATTGGTTGGCCAGCCTTGGAAACGTTAAACGCCGCCAGCAGCCATCCAGGTGGATGCGTCTGAGTACCGGGCCTTTGCAGAGCATGTGCACGTGATGGATGTGAATGGTCCTCCAGCTGAGGGCTACTATAAGTGGCTGAAGGAACTCGTTCTTGATCAGGCCAATTCCTCCGAAGCTGAAGTCATTCGCCTGGACCAAGTGACTTGTGACCTTTCTCCTGGTGACGGACGGTGGCGTTGGGTCACACGAGAAACGATCCTGCACAAGTTCGAGCTATGGTCGGCTGGTGGGGCAAACTGGGGACCAACAATCCAGCTCTGTGGATCAGCCCCTTATAGCATTTGCATTGGGCACCAGAGGATTGGGAGCCTCCACTGCTACATGCAATGGTGTTTCTTGGCGAAACATGGCGAAACCATATCCACCCAACGTGATGTGATTTTGGAATATTGACGGTCGCTTCGCGACGAAAACCGCCCGCACCAAGTGTAATGGATAACATTCACATATGTTGGAGGATGTTTGGCCATATTGAACGTTCTTTTAGCACTTATTGGGCACTTTTTAGCTCCGTATGAGGCTATCTTGGCCCCATATGAGGATATGTTGGCCCCAATTTGAGGCTATGTTGCCCCCATGTGAGCCTATCTTGGGCTCATGTTGGGCCTATGTTGGGCCTATCTTGACCCATTTTTGGCCTATATTGGCCCAGATCAAGAATTTTGACATCTTTTGAAAAACATGCAAAAACACAGGGTTCTAGAGCAAAAATGCCACCCCCCCCAAGCTAAAGCTTATTAGCTATAATGCAAGTGCTAACGGTTCACGCAGGCACACAAAAAACGTCTCGGCACCTTCGGTGCGGGCGGATTTTGGATGATTTTGACATGTACCACTGAGCAAGGCTTCTGTTCAGCCAGACATGAAATGATGCTGTTTCTAGATGTTTCTAGTCTAGTTTATATGACATGGGCGTGTCAGGCTACTTGACTCAGCGCACCACTGCAGATTGGGCGAAAACCATGGCCAAGGCAATCCCTTGCAAGCTGGAGTCTTTGCAGCCAAAGCAGGCAGCAATGAGAGGCCTCAAGGAGAGTGTGCAGACTCAGGCAGGCTGGAATCCCTACTCTTCGGTGACCATGCAGCGACCAAAAAGGAAGTCAAGGCATTGATGCCACAGCATGCAAGCAACACAGCCTCTTGGCCACAAGTATCTGAAGGGATACCACATGATACGACATCACACCACATCCCGTGTCATCCGGTATGACAAAATCGTGACTTTATGATCTGCAGAAATTGGTTAACCTAGGCTGAAGTAAGATGATGTAAGCTCCAAACATAAGATTTGCACCAACGAATTCATGTGATCATGTGTGCATTAGCAATGGAATTGACGCTGGAAAGACATCCCAAAGTCATTCAAAAAAGCTTGCAGCTTTTGATTTCTTATTGGCAATGGATTGCCTTTGCTCATTGCATCTCATTGCTGAGACGTTGAAGCCTGTTGAAATACAATGAAACGCATCGCCAAGGAGCTTTTTCCCTGGGACGTTCTGTGCCACTTTGCACGCAATCGAGTGTTCGATGATGTACTCCGTATCCCTGCTCCTGGCACCCAGCTTGCCCAACAGGCAGCTTCCTGGACCAGATGCTTCACAGCAACGTGTGAAGGCGTTTGCGGCAGATGTTGGCAGCGCTGCCTTGCCCTTGTTGCGACTGACTGCATAGGGCCATGTTTTTCTATGTTTTTCTCAGTCATTCTCATTCATCGAATAGCACCAGGGCAGCCAATGATGTGCCATGATACATCATATTACATCATGATATTTCCGAACAGCTCAGATGCACGATGACGCATGGCAGCTTATCGGTTTTTTAAATTTCCAAGATGGGCGTGGCAACAAGCTGCCCATGTGGGGACATTGTGGGGTCTCTTGGGGGGACTTCCGAAGAAGGAAAAAAGCTGAGCCAGATGAGACATGATCATGTCCCACTTGGGTGCAGGTCTTGAGTATTATGTCATGACTAATTCCTATCCCAAGTATGTTATTGTCAAATATTGTCAATGAATGATTAATATCAATTATGTAATACCTGGAAAATCAGTTTCGTTTACCAACAAGCCATGGCTTGGGGTGCTAGCTGTTCATTTTGGCTAGGGTTGAGTTTACTAGGCAGCTGTTGAAGCATGAGTTTCTATTACAGTTCATTGACATGTGAGCCATGAAACATACCTTGTTCATCCTTTTTACCATGGATTTCACTATAAGTTCTGGATGCCGGAAGAATGATTTAGAGGGGGGGGTCCTAGAAAAGAAATATTTTTTTTCACTAGGTCCCCCTAGCATAAAGATTGGGGATGTCTAGTGGAGGTAATCATTCTTTTGGCCCTTCGTTTTCTTTGCAGCAGTGAAGTGATGTGACCATATTTTTTTAGACTTTAGACAGTCCAGAGATGTGCAGAGCCGCGTCAGTGGTCAACCCAGTGATTTTGAATCGGCTGTCCTACACAAACCATGTTTCCAGGTCATGCTTTTTGCTGATGCTGCATGTCTACAAGAGCCGTCAGATGTAGGTAATTGAAACCTGGTCGGTGATCCAGCTATTTACGAAAAAGGATTCATGGCAAAAACAGACATCCCATACATTAGTCATTAGTCTGAGACAGCTTGCAGATAGCCTTACATAGACGCCATGCCTACAGGCTTCGTGTGCCAACTTCATTATCAGGGAGGTGGCTCTTTGCTGTGCCAGACTTCGACGGGAGATTCGTGGCAGTTGCCTTTTGCTCACGCCCCGCCACATGTGCGGATTGGCCACGCCGTGTCGTTTTCACTGGCTGCGGATCGGGCAGGTCTGGCTGTTGATCTGGAGGTAATCCAAGAGAAAACTGCGAAACCTTCAGCACATGCAGAGAAGGGACTGCGAAGTATCCAGGAGAAAGCAGCAAAGCCTGCCTCCTCCTTTGCAAAGCAACCTACCAGGAAGCTGCAACGAAGCATCGCCAGATTTTACAACGCAGATTTGGAAGAAAGGCTTCAGATGATTGAAGCTGCGGAAAGTTTTCTCAGTGACTTGCTGAATGCGGTCGAGTTGGATGGTGATGCCATCTGCAAGTTGCTGTGTCGCTCTGCCGGATGGCTTCATGCACCCGGCTCCTTCGAAGCGAAGCACGTTGCTGCTACTGAGGTGGCTGAAGTTTCCCAGCCAAGCGGACCTAGCGACTTGCAGCGCCGGGTGAGAGGTTTGTTAATCTCGGCTTTGAATTCCTTAGATTTGCGTGACATCACAACCTACCAGGCAGTTGACACAGCCGTGCTACACATTCTTCAACTGATGCAGGGAAAGGAAACCTTGTTTTGTGTGAGTGGTAAGTCGCTTGCAAAGAGACAATGGCAGCAGCTTCAAAAGTTGTTGGTCGCACATGGTGCACAGTGTGTGTTTCAACAAAACGGAAAGCATCAATTGAAGCACCTGCAGTCCTCCAAGACAAGGCTGCTAGACGGGTGTCAAGAGATAGGTCCGCAGCCATTGACGGCGTATATCGCCCCAATGAACGCGTCAGGAGTTTGCCATCAGTTTACGAGGCCCCCGACCGAGTTGTCATGTTGAAATGTTCCAAGTGCGTGAAACGTATCAGCACCAGTTGGTTTTGGAAACAACCTAGAAACGGACGAATTTACGCCGTGGTTCCACATAAGGGTCACCAAACCTGCGGGAGAGCAATGGGGAAGAGATGTCCTTGGCTTTCTTTGGATGGCACCAGCACTTGCTATGACCTATTTGAAAATTCAGATTTTTGCTGCCACAAATGCAGAAGGTCGTTGTGCAAAGATTGTGATGGCCGTGGTCTTTGCCCTCACAATCGCCAACGGTCTCAGTGCAAGGAGTGTGGTGGTTGCGGTCTTTGCTTTCACAACCGCCAGCGGTCCAAGTGTCCAGTGTGCAAGACTCAAACCCGGACGTAGAATGGTATGAGCTGTGCGTGCTATGACATGTGCAGGTTCAATTTCGACTTTGCCCTTTGGTTGAACCTTCCGCGACCACAACAGGTCATTATGAGAGCGCCCTGGCCTCCAAGAAACCTCACCATTTTCCACTTGACCTGCAATCCCAGCTGGCCGCTAGCCACCCCCCTCGCAACCAAAAGCTGGACAAGCCAGTCAGAGGACACTATCTGCACGTGGAAAAAAATTGAGCAATGCAAAGAGTAGTGGCCATGGCAGCAGGTTTTTTTCTGGACAACGCAGCAAACATGATCAATTCTATAGCTGAGCTTACTTGAAGGTAGTATAGATTGCTCAACCGAAAGGCGTCCGATTTCAATTGATTGTGTTTGTTACAGAATCCAAACCACATCAACTTCTATGTTTTGTGAAGATCACTTTCCCATGACTTTCCCATTGGAGATGACGGACTTCCATTGAGCCAATGGTGGGTTTGTTGGCAGGGCCAGGCCAAAAAGAATTTATCATATTTATGTGCCGTTGAGCGGCTGGAGGGAAGGCATTTCTAAAGCCGCACCCAAATTTGGGTGAGTCATAAAACCCCAGCGGGGATTCACCATAAACAAACAAGGGGAACCGCCCAAAACGCGCAAACATTTGAGGTTCGCAGGCCATAGTATTACATCAAAGCTTGTTTCTGACAGGAGCATCCGTTGTTCGACCATTTTTGGGTTTCGGTGTAAGTTTTAGGGGGGAACCGTCCTTTTTGACTAATGTGCACGGGTGAAATGCCAGACGGGTGCGCCCCTGTATGATGTTTCAAAACAAAACCCGCCCTTTTCTGATATCTATAGCGAAACAAGTTGGGTGTGGGATGCATTCTGAGTCATTACCAAATGGTTGTTGACCGTGGGCTCATGGCCTGAGGTTGGTGGAATGATTTGTTTGCTTGTTGATGAAATCATGAGGGTCGCCGAGTCATAGTCTTGTGGAGGTATTCAATTTTGGCTCATTGGTTTCTTCGCAGCAGTGCAGTACCAAGTCCTGACAGCGCAGGGATGTGTAGAGCTGCGTCTGTGGTTTACAGAGGTCATTTTGAGTCTGCTGCTTGCCCATGTCAACATATGTCCAAATCATGTGCGTTTTGTGGCCGATTTCGCAGTGAATTCAGATGTAGGTAAATGTGCAATTTTGCGTGATCTAGCTATGTGTGACATAGATTAGGCATTAAACACATATCTTTCATGGTCATTATCTGGGGCAACTTGCTGCTGATAGCCATTCCCCTTTTTTTGATTGCCATGTTAACAGGTTTCGTATGCCAACTTCATTATCACGGAGGTGGCTCTTTGCTGTGCCAGACTTCGACGGGAGATTCGTGGCAGTTGCCTTTTGCTCACGCCCCGCCACACGTGCGCATTGGCCACACTGTGTCGTTTTCACTGGCTGGGGATGGGACAGATCTTGCGGTGGATCTGGAGGTAATCAAGGAGAAAGCTGCAATATCTTCAGCAACTGTAGAGGTGGGATTGCGAAGTATCCAGGAGAAAGCAGCAAAGCCTGCCTCCTCCTTTGCAAAACAACCTACCAGGAAGCTGCAACGAAGTATCGCCAGATTTCACAATGCAGATTTGGAAGAAAGGCTTCAAATGATTGAAGCTGCGGAAAGTTTGCTCAGTGACTTGTTGAATGCGGTCGAGTTGGATGGTGATGCCATCTGCAAGTTGCTGTGCCGCTGTGCAGGATGGCTTCATGCACCAGGCTCCTTCGAAGCGAAGCACGTCGCCGCCAGGGAGGTTGCTGTGATCGAGACTGCCACAGTTTCTCAGCCTAGCGGGCCCAGCGACTTGCAGCGCCTGGTGAGATGTTTGTTAATCTCGGCTTTGGGTTCGTTGGATTTGAGCGATATCACAACCTACCAGGCAGTTGAAACAGCCGTGGTTTACATTCTTCAACTGATGCAGGGCAAGGATATCTTCTTCTCTGGGAACGGCAAGTCGCTTGCAATGAGACAATGGCGGCAACTTCGAGAGTTGTTGGTTTCAGAAACTGCACCAAGTGGCCCAGCAAAACGGAAAGCATCAATTGAAGCACCTGCAGTCCTCCAAGACAAGGCTGCTAGACGGGTGTCAAGAGATAGGTCCGCAGCCATTGACGGCGTATATCGCCCCAATGAACGCGTCAGGAGTTTGCCATCAGTTTATGAGGCCCCCGACCGAGTTGTCATGTTGAAATGTTCCAAGTGCGTGAAACGTATCAGCACCAGTTGGTTTTGGAAACAACCTAGAAACGGACGAATTTACGCCGTGGTTCCGCATAATGGTCACCAAACCTGCGGGAGGAAAATGGGGAAGAGATGTCCTTGGATTTCTTTGGAAGGCAAGGTCACTTGCCTGGACAACTTTGAACAGTTGGATTTTTGTGACCACAAATGTAGAAGGTCGCTGTGCAAAGAATGCGGCGGGCGTGAAATTTGCCCTCACAACCGCCAACGGAAATTATGCAAGGAGTGCGGTGGGAGTAGCATTTGCCTCCACAATCGCCAAAGATCGTTGTGCAAAGATTGTGGTGGCCGTGGCATTTGCCCGCACAATCGCCAGCGGTCTTTTTGCAGGGAGTGTGGTGGCAGCAGCATTTGCCCTCACAATCGCCAACGGTCGTATTGCAAGGAGTGCGGCGGCAGTGGTATTTGCCCTCACGATCGCCGACGGTACCGTTGTTCAGTGTGCAAGATTCAAACCCAAAAGTAACATGGAATCAGAATGAATCAGATGTGTGCACTCCGACGTGTGCAAGTTCAGTTTGCCTTGTGCACTGCAAGTGACATTGATGCTCGAAATTCATTATGTCTGGTCCTTCCCAGGACATAGCTGCAATCCGGTGGAAGATTGGCTGAAGGAAGGCTCCATGAACATGAACCGTCATAGTGACTTTGCCGATCTTCAGGAAACCTCATCAAGGCAAGTCGCCAATATCAGAACTACTTTTTCTTCAAAAAGTGTTTTCGACCCGGTCTTTTGCTTGGATGACAAGACCAGCCAGTGACCGCTAGCGGCCTACCGACCACGGATTCAAAACCAGCTATAGGCGAGAAAAACTGTTCAGGAACGGCATGCAGGCGCCTAAGGAAAATATTGGCCGTGTCTGACGGTTTAATATGGCTTCATGGGGGTACAATCAATCAGTATAGTTTCTTTGGAAGGACCAACTGGCTGTGGGTGATGACATGTATTGGAAAATTCCCAAGGGCCTTCACCTAAAACGGGCCAACATTTGAGCGCAATTTGACATCATCCAGTTGCGGGCCATTCACCAGCCACAGGGCCATTCCTAATTTTTGGTTGGATTTGTTCCTAGTATGGGTGTTTGCCGCCAGAAAAAAATAAAAAAAAAATCAAAAGAAACCATAATTTCCAGATTCAATATTGGGACATGGCCAGTACGCTTAAACTCGCAAAAGGATTTTAACTTGGGCTGGTTATCCCACCCACTCTGGATGATCACGATTAAGAGGGACACGAGGGGACCAAACTTGACAATGTGATGGTCTTGTTGGTCACTGACAGTTTGGTCACTGACATCGTGGGTTGGGGACCCGCTCAAGGTGTTGTCCACCCTAGAAAGATGATTTCTCTTTTGTTCCCGATCAACATTGTTGTTTGCCAAGCATGTTAATCAAACGGCAGTGGACGATCCACCACTTATATAGCTTGATTATTTTACAATGACATCCGCCATTGATGGGGGACTTCCCAGTTGGCCACGTTTGATTGCCACAATGTACCATTGTTCATCTATTGTTGGCTATGCATCCCATTATATCCCCATATGGTCCCAAATATATATATATATTTAAGTATCATTTAAAAACATCGGGAGGTATTTTTCCATATTACCCCATCATATTCCCATTACATCCCCATTCTATTCCCCTTGTATCCCCGCCACGCTGCAGGCAGTGTTGATCTTCAGCGCTGCTGATGAAGTGCTCCTGACCTTCGTACTGAATCCGGTGCTTGGGGAGCCTTGCCTGCAATAGCAAAGAGAGGCAGCTGAAAAGAACGGTGGACCAAACATGACAGCGTTGCCATGTCGCAAATCAACTTAGAACTTGAGAATTTTCTTGATCTTTTGAGGAAAGTGGTCTTCCAACCTCCTCTTTGGTTGGGTATATGTTAGTGCGGAGAGGGTATTTGCAAACGGAGGCTTCTGATTTTTCAAACATGGAGGTTTTACATGGGTTTGCCCATCGTTGCCCAAGGTAACCGACAATGGAAGTTCTTTCTCAAAAAGGGGGGTGCCGGACCATGGTTTTCAATGCTAAACAAATTCAAATTTGGATGATTTGAGGCCTTTCATTCTAAGAACTGCCTCCAAATATACATGAACATCTCAGACATATCACTAGTGTGTGAAAATGAGAAAACACCGAAAAAATCCAGATCCGAAGCTTGCTGCGCAGCCCTCAGGAATTTCCACGTGGCTGGCGTCAAGTGGGTCGCACCTTGAATCGCACAACAAATCGGCGGTTGGTTTGGAGCGTCCAACAAGTGCAGGAGGAACTCCAATAATTCCGTTTCACAAGGTCGCGCACAAATATAAGAGGTTGTAAGAGTACCTATATATAGACCCTTAAATTGTCAGTGCAAAAGCGTATTTCACCACAGTTCTCTCTTTTTCACAAATATGGGTTGGTTCATACCGTTAAGTTTTTCATGAACTGCCTCAACAAATGATCATGGAAGAAGTTAGTATTTGGGTGCGTTTTACATTTGAATTAGGGCCCCTAAATCCTAAAGTTATCATTGTTTTCCGTATTAGAATAGCAATTTGGGGACACAGACTTCAGGCACACCCAACCTCTTTTACTGTACATCATAAGATCACCAATGTTTCAATCATAGCCCCAGTAAATCACCATAGTAGGATTATTGCCTGATTTTCTGAGTTTTATCTCAGCAGTTTTTGGGGTTCTCTGGAAAAAATGGGGTACTTCAATCCATCAACTCGTGAACAATCAGTTTCCTCCAAGCAAAATGGATTGTTCAAGTACCCATTTTCAGGTTGATTTTTGTGTTTTTTTATTCCCCGTTTTCAGGTAGCAAACCTGGCTTCACATCCTTGGTTATAAATTGGTTACAAAATCCTGTTATATCTCATTACATGAAATGATATTCGTTAACATCACATTATATATATATACATACACTATAATTATATATAATTATACCCTCATCAAATTCTTAGTTTTTATATGTTTTTACAGGACAAACCGATAAATCAATGTAAACCATCCATATTTCTCGCGGATGCGCGGTGCCCAGATGTTGTCGTCGAATATTTCTTGTTCGTTTGCTGGTACCTTGGATGCCTCGGACGGAAATCGGGATTTTGACGGAGAAAATTCGAGGAAGTCATGGGAGATGTATATTATTTAAAATGTTATTACTTTCAATAAACATGGGAAATTCATATAAATTCATGGGATATTTATTTCTTGGTACGTTTTCTTTCTTATTCCTTTTATCCGACCAAGGAAGTGTTTGGTAGGCCTGGTCATGTGGTCACATCCATGGTCCCATGGTCCCATGGTCCTGAGGTTACTTGCGGCTGAAGTGATGATTGCAGCCTGGTTGGTTTGATCATGGTCCATGGTCGGTCCCCCATTGGTTTGATCCATCGTGTGGGAAATCATATTTACCCTCAAACTAACGTAACTATGGAAAATCACCATTTTTAATGGGTAAATCAACTATAAATGGCCATTTTCAATAGCTATGTTAAATTACCAGAGGGCAATGATGGTTAATGATGGGATTAATGATGGGATTAATAATGGGATTCGAATAGATATACCCTCTGGTAAACATACAAAAAAACCCATAGAAATTTCGTTGATTTACCCATTAATAACATGGTGATTTTCAATAGTTTTCTGTCAAATTACCAGACGGTATTTGACAACCCAACTTGGATGGTTTGATGTGGGTTCGTCTGAAACTCGGGTGTCCCTACCGGTTCATCATCATCATCCCCATCAAAATGGCCAGAGTGGGAGGACAGCCATTTTCAGATATGGACATTTCACCATCTCAACCTCCAGATTCTCTGTTCACAGAATTGGATGATGGGACAATTTACAGGAAACCCGATGGTAAAAACATGGAGTTTCCGGTGTAGATTTTCCCAACAAAACCACTCCACTGACCCCTGGATTGATTTGGGAATATCTACAGGAAACTATGGATTTTCCCATTGAATATGGGGCTTTCTGGTTAAAATTTTCCCGGCTAAACCACTCCATTGACTGATATTTTTCATATATTGGGAATAATCATCCCGACTGACTTTCATATTTTTCAGAGGGGTAGGTCAACCACCAACCAGTTGTGGTTTTCCCAACAAAACCAATCCATTGATTCTTGGTACATCCCCCATAATACCCAAATCCTACATCAAATCAAACAAATCCAAGGTTTATCCGGGTATCCCAATGATGTTTCCCATAGATTCTCTGTTTCCCTCACCAACTCCTGCCAGAGGTCGCCAGCTGAGGCCTGCTTCGCACGTGCCTTGTGCGCCGGGGACCGCCCGGAGGGTCAGAAGCAGTGGGTGATCCACGACACGCTGCGTGGAGACCACGGCAACCCCGTGGCGCCTTGGTGACGATGGCGCTGCCATGATGGGAGGGGAATGGCCATGGCAAAAGGTTGGGGAACTTGGGGAAAATATATGAACATGTATGAAAATGTGGATGAACATATATGAAAATGGTTGGAAAATATAGCCTGGAACCGGAATTTCCAGCCCAGCCATTTTCATAGATTTTCAATGGGAAAATCATGAAAAAAGACAGGTAGAAGGCCAGAAATGGATAGATATGGGGGGAATTTAGCCAACGAGTTATGGCAATTTGAGTGGGGAAGAAATGAGGTTTGAAACCATTGGACAGTTGCATGCGCTTCCAAATCGTGAGACAGAATCAAATGGTGGCTGTCAGGTGCTGGTTGCAGATTTGATTCTATTTGGATGATCCGAAGAGAAACATCTTCAATCTTCATTCCCAGTTATAGCCATCCCCAAAAAGATAGAAAAGACCCAAGGAACAATCCTACTAAAAGGGGTAGATTACGTTTCTATCTTTTTAGGGATTACAAAAAACGACGCACAAATTATAGATCCTCGAATCCTCTAGCACTGAATTGGGATACATGAACAATTATCACGTTTGATTCAAGCCCCAAACACGGAAGCAACACTTCGACTAGGTGGATCGTGTAACAACAGGTACCCTCCAGTAAGTTAACAGTTCGACCCTGCGACCCTGTCAATTTCTCACACTAATCTTCCAACATCTTTCAACCCTCTGTTTGGCAGGGTCTATTTTGGGGAGGGTAACATGTATAGTAAGGGGGTCATAAGATGTAACAATCCCAAGCTATTTGATCTATAGGTTGACTCACTTAGAGCATATCTGAACGACTTTACCGCGACGTGATTCGAGATGACAATGCCCAAAATACCATTGTTTCAGGTTGACAAATGTTGATAGATTTTGCCCAGAAATATCTTGATCTTCCATAGCTCCTGATAATTCCAACTTTAAGTGTCCATGAAAAAACAGAAACCCATCCATAAACCACAAACACATACAAACACGATTCCTGGGATCATATCTAATCACATTTTGCAATGAAACCCCTCCTGAGATAGGATATCTCCAGCTATATATGGGATTCCTGGGATATCTGGGAGATCTCCAGGGGTCAAACAAATCCCTCACGATTCCTGCAGGATAGGGCCCCCAGTCGAGCTCGCGTTCAGTTGCCTCAGAAAAATGGCTGAATTCCATCGTTTATGGTAGATATAAGATGATATCAACTCTAGTATTCATGTTTTTTGTAGGTTTATAGTAGATATCAACTATAGTGAATGGGGTTTATAATTTATAATGCTTAATAAACCAACAAAACATCACATTTTGGGGGCACCCCTCCTGTCACATCCCAACGCCGAACTGCTCCGAGGCGGAGTCCTCCATCGTCTTTCGGCACACGCGCGAGAAGAGCGTGGCCAAGATCGGGCAGTTGGAGGTTTTCGTGACGGTGGAGGCGGGAGGAGATGACGATGAGACCATGCTGTTTGTGTTAAATATAGGTGGTATAGACCATCAAAAATCACCAAAATCACCTTGTATGATTAAGATTGGATGGAAATGGGTATTGAAATGGATATTGCAATGGATAATGAAATGTATTTACCCTTTGGTAAACGTTTACAGTGATTTTTCAATGGTTTAACAATGGGTTAACAATGGTGAATAATTGGATTTCTATGACCACTATTCTGATGGTGACATGACAATGATATCATTTTTTAAATTATGATACTCTCTGGTTATTTAACATAGCCATGGTATAGATGGCCATAGAAATAGATGGTTACCTATTAACAATGGTGATTTTCCATGGCAAACTGTTAAATAACCAGATGGTAGGTGGTATAGACCATGAAAAATCACCAAAACCAACCATAAATAGGTGGTATAAACATACAAAAAACAATGGAAAACTGGTTGGTGGTGACTGGAACCATGGAATTTTGAATGACTTTCCATTCAGTTGGGAATTTCATCGTCCCAACTGACGAACTCCATCATTTTTCAGAGGGCTAGGTATACCACCAACCAGTATAGCCTCTGGTAAACATACAACAAATTATGGAAAATTATCATCTTTCTATGGCCATTTTCAATAGCTACTGTGGCCAAATCATGTTAAATCACCCTAAATAGTTGGTATAAACCATCAAACATGGGTAGTTTATTATTGTTTTAACCACATTATACCGAGAACCATCATTTTTTTGGGGGATTGGTTGGCAAGCCCTACTAAAAAGATGAGGTAAATACCTTGGCAACCTGGAATTGAGGGGAAATAAGTGTTCTATCTTTTTTTGGGAGAACTAGGCGTGATATAAAGCGACAACTATTGGACCAATTGATACAACCAGCAATATGGGATACGGGGAAGAGGTGATACAATGGATGCAGCGTAATGATGATTGCATGGATTCAACCAAAAAAAAAAGTGAAATGGGTGTGGTTCATGGGCTGGGATGGGTTGTTCCATAATTTCCGGGGGAATGAGCATCAATAATTACTGGTTGGTGGTTTGGAACATTTTTGTTTCCATATATTGGGAATAATAATCCCAACTGACTTTCATATTTTTCAGAGGGGTAGGGATACCACCAACCAGATTAGATCCCAGTTTTTTTTTGAGGTTCAGTGAAGGGCGCCAGGGTTTTGACCCAGAACCATATAGTGGGTTGTCCTTGGATGTGATTGGATCAATTTTTATCAACCGTAGCGGGATATAATTTATGCGAACCTTGGATGGGTTACATCAACATACTGTAAATCAACTCTAAAAGGATATAGGGAGGAATCAACAAGAGGGCACTACTAAGGATTTACGCGATAAACAATGGATATCAATGGGATATCAACTGTGTCAACAAACTGGTCAAGGGTCCTTTAGTAGAACCCTAAATTCAAGGACAGTTGCTGCTAACTTAAGCCTCCTAAATCCAACACGGACCATGCCAAAATGGATTTGGGCTTGATGGTTTTTAACAACAAAATGACATGTTATGAACTGTCCATTTGAAGGGGTTTCCAAGTTCAGATTCCAGTCATGATATTCTCAAAAGATTTAGTTGGTTTCATACTTCCTTTTTGTTCATACTTGTACCATTTAGGACACGCCCAAATATCACAAATTATCGTATTGTTGATTCGACTTGCCATGACTTTTCCCATGACATCACCATAGAATGGTATACATAACTGGATCCCGTCACAGCCCATAATTTAATGGTTCTAGTCCCATAGTTTTCAGAAATTAAGAGCCATCCATAGTTTTCTTATTGCCATCACTGCAATCACTACTGTGGATGGGCCAGCGAAATCCTAAAAACCAGTTGATTGATAGGTGGTTCATCCCATTATTTCTAGGGTTTCAACCATCCTTTTGGTGGTGCAGGATTTCGCTGGCCCATCCACCGTATCAATGGCATCACTATGTTACCCTCTGGTAAACGTTTACATAACTGTGGAAAGATCCACCATTTGTTTAATGGACAAATCACTATAACTGGCAATTTTCAATAGCAAACTGTAACAAATTACCAGAGGTTAGTTTTCTTATTGCCATCACTATCAATAGCATCACTATGTTAAGACCCATATCGCCATGCCCAGATGGTCCCCCCATTGATTTTGTTCAAAAAAAAAGGACCTTGAACGACAAGCCTCGGAGCGGCGGACCAAGTGTTGGTCCATGCTCTTTGCGCATATGGCAGGTGCCATGGCCATGGGACCCATGGGAAGATCCAAGCATTTTTTGAGTGGGACGATGTGGGAGGATCACCAATTTTTGTTGGAGAAAATGCATGGATTTTGGTTGGGGGATCACCATTTTTTGTTGGGAAAATCAACATAAATCAACCATTTCTTAGTAGGAAGAGCAGCAGTTTTAACCAGATAACTCCCATCTCTTTGTTAGGAAAATCATCTATGAATGGTGATTGTTTGATTGTTTTAGATTGTTTAGATGATATGCAGTGGCATTTCTATGACCACTATTCATTCTGATGGTGACATGACAATGATATCATTTTTTAAATTATGATTACCCTCTGGTTATTTAACATAGCCATGGAAAATGGCCCATAGAAATAGATGATTTTCCCAGATAGAAACCTCCATTTATGAGGGATTTTCCATGGCTATGTCAAATAACCAGATATGGTATATCATTTGCCATAAGTTTGCCCAACTACGTAACAAAGGGTTTCCGCTCAGAGGGAGTCTTGGGCGTGGGGGTTGGTCAGTGGCGATGGCGGATGTCTCAATGACTTAAGAATTTCTCAACCAAGGTACTTCCATTTGGAAAGCCAGTTCATGTGGGAAAATAATGAAAACTTATATACCCTCTGGCTATTTAACATAGCTATGGTATAGATGGCTCAGAAATTAATTAGAGGATTTATGATGATTTACCTATCCAAAATGGTGATTTTCCATAGCTACGTTGAATAACCAACCGGTAAATCATTCGGGAAGATAAAAATCCAGCCTGTTCTCCGACAGTAGGTGTTTCCATGCGGCATCAACAGGAGCATGTTCTGTCAGCACAGCCGAATACCAAACCACTGGCATCGAAGAGCTCGAAGCTCGAATTATATCCAAGTGTACCAAATATACCATTCATATAGGGTTGGAGATATGATATTGGTACCCAGTATATGATATGTATTGCTATATCAATGGTACCAAGTATACAAGTATATCAATGTTTCTTTGAGGGTTGGGGATCAATTGAATTGAGTAATTGATGGTATTCCAATCCTTTTCTGGGATTGTAATTTGAGGGTCTTGCGAGGTCTCAGATATGGAATGCTTTCGGGCTTTTACCAAGCACACAGAGAACGTGTTTTTGCCAAGGGTGTGACCAGATGAAGAGCGAAAACAGAACGGTGTTTAGAAGATCCATCCCACCCTATAGAATCCTAGTTGTCTTTGGAATTTAGAAGTGGAGGTTTCCTGAAATAGGGGTACCCCTAGTCATCATCCATTTTCGATTGGGATTTTCCATGAAATAAACCATCCAGCTAGTGGGTACCCCCATTTGAGGAAACCCCCAAGTGAGTCTAAAAAAGGTGCAGCAGCCATGTCTGCGTTGTAAAGCTATAAAACCCCCTTTGGCCCGACTTCCGGGCACAGGTTTTGCCATGATTTCTGCCGGCCGGCACCCCAGTGTCATACTTTTTACATCCTTTTGCTGGGAACTCATGGCGCCTCTCGATCATCATTTGGGTATCTCAGAAAATGCGGTATACTGCGGTTTACCCTGAAATTGAGACTTTAATATATTTCAAGAGGGGGAAATGATGGTAAACCAATGGATTTTTGGGTGCCTTATCAGACAATCCCATTTTTGAGACACCAATTTTGGAACTTAAAACAAGTTGATGCATCTCCCGACCTGGCCAATGTGGAACCCCCCCAACATGATCTGAAGGAGGATAAATGCATCAGTTGGGATGAAAGGATCTCAACTTCCTTGGAAACCACTTGGGATTTTTCCACAGCTGGGCATTCACTGAAAATCGGGAGGGTTCTTATGTTTTGAGGTGGTGACCTTCAGCACAGTGAGTTTTTTCGAGAAAACTGGATCTTCAGCGTCTTGGCTTCGGACTTCACTGGGACTAGCAGGATCTACCAGCTGGAAGAACAAAATACCGAGTATCGGGCTGATCTGTATGATCTATCTCCTTACATCCTAAGATGACCCAAGGATTGCAATTTTTTCATGATCTTTGGATCACCATCCATCAGATTTGCGGAAACTAGTGAGCTGTACCACGAGTGTTTCATTGCTCCCAGGTTTGCTATCTGTGGTTTGGGTCCCAGATCAGTTGGTGCTGGTGGGGGATTTGGGCGGCTTTCCAACATGCCACCATCAGCATCAAAAAGAACATGGCACAACGGCACAACAGTTGGTTTTTTTGAGGTTGAACACGGAAAGATATATATATATAAATGGAAGGTGAACATGGTACTTGTAAGACCTTCAACATTTCAACACCTCGTTTTTCAAAAACGATCTGATTTTGAACTCAGTGGTTGTGCTTTGGGAGGGCCACCCTTGTTTTGTCCTGTGGCTGTGTATAACCATCAGCTCGAATTTAAGATCCACCTGTACGTAGATACTTTTCAGTAACACCAGGATGGTTTGTATTCGATCTACTCCTGGGAAGTATGTCTGGTCGTTTCCCCAAAACTTGGGATGACGAACCCCCAAAGCAGTTCGAGAAACGCTCGAGGTCCTCAACGTGCTCTTTCTGCTGCTGATCTTCTGCTGGGACCTCAGGGGTTTGGATGGTCATTGGGTAAATGTCATGCTTTGACAATGGGTTACCCCCTGGTAATGACTAACAGTTTGCTATTGAACATGGCCATAGAGATACAGTAGTTGTTTTACCCGTTAAATATGATTTTCCATAGCTATGTTAGTTTACCAGAGGGTAAATTAGGTTATATATGTTTATAGAAGCATAGTTGCAGGTTTTTTCCCAACTTATGGTGGGTAATAGAACATGGGTTTAATTACTAGCTGGGTGAATTGCTGATTTAATGGTGAACAAGTGAACAAATCAACATGTGTTTCTTGTAATCACTAGGTCCACTAGGTTTAAAGGGGCTGTGCGAGAGTCTAGTTCTTGAGCTTTATCTTGACCACTTCGCAGAATAATGGCTAATGCGATTTTAAAGATTGAAAGTCATATGAGTCATATTACTCTCTGGTAAACTAACATAGCTATTGAAAATGGCCATTTATAGTTGATTTACCCATTGAAAATGGTGATTTTCCATAGTTATGTTAACGTTTACCAGAGGGTAATGTCATATCGCTTCTTCCTTCGCCATGCTTTCTTACAGGTGCAGGTAGCAAAAAAGTGAAGCTTCGCCGTCAACTTGTGGCTTTTTCTTGCCTATTTTCTGGTGATCAAAATGGGGGATCAACCTACAAAATGGTGGATTTTCCCAAAAAATGGTGGGTGATTTTTCTTGCAAAATGGTGATATTTTCCTACAAAATGGTGATTTTCCATCGGTTGCACGGCCGTTTTATGCACCCAGTGGGTCACTCTGAGGGATCTCGGCGCGCTTGCGGCCGCGCGGCGACGAGAGTGATGCGGACTCGGAGGAAGCGGCACCGGTGCGGAGACATGGGATACTTTGGGATACCATGGGATTTTTTTGCGCTCTTTTTGAGTTGATTTCATGTGGTTAACAAGTTATAAAGGGATGATTAATTAATGGAATGGGATTATATTAATGGAATGGGATGATTAATAGGATTATATAGGGATTTATGGGATTATTTTATTGATTAATTAATAATAAAACATAGTTGATTAATGGGATTATATAGGGATTATATAGGGATTGTGGGATGATTAAGGAAATGATTAATGTGGTTAACACAATATTAAACCACCCATGACTTAACTGGGAATGGTTTTTAGATGTTTTTAGCACCTATTTATGATGATTTGGGGATGGTTTATTTTTGTTTTACCCACATTAATGATTATGCAATGGTATGATGGTGAGATACTGGTGATTCAAGATCAGTAGTTGGGGAAATATCATCAAACTAATTGTCCTTTTTTAGACATTTGGGCTCATTTGTACCAGGGATAATTTTCATTGATTTCCCAGATGTTTATTTGAGATCATTAGTTGGGGCTCATTCTTCTTGGATCATGATATATTCTGACGGTGATTTCCCAAAACTTGGTATATTTTGGGATATGAAACCCCCGTTGGTTGATGATGAGTTCGGGGATACTCTACTAACCTTTATATACTGGGGAATATCATAATCCATGAGTCCATGAGCTTGGAATCAATTCACCTTTTTTTTTTTACTGGATTGGTTTAAGGGACAATTTACAGGGAAATATCATCTACAGTATATGGGGGTTTCCATAAATGGTGGGTTCCCCAAAATGGATGGTTTATAAGGGAAAATTCCCATTAAAATGGATCATTTAGGGGTACTCCCATCTATGGAACCTCCCATATCATACTGGAAACACTGTTCTGAATCTTTTTGTCAATGGATTGGTTTAAGGGAAAATGATTTTCCCATTAAAAAAAAGGGGCTTTCCGGTTAAATTTTTCCCGACTAAACCAATCCATTGATTTTGTGCTCGCAAAATAGTCCCATGTCCCCAAAAAATCAATATCCCGGTATTATCATTATACTAGTATATCCATCAATAGTCCTAGTATTATCCATCAATATCCCAGAAAAATCACCGCTACGTCCCACCATTCGACGATGCCAGGTCGACCTGTGGAACAACCATGCCATTGAAGCAGAGGTGGGATCCCAGCAAAGAAAAACCTGCGAAAGGATATTTGGGATCCGCACATGCCAATATTTACTATGGTTTACTATGGTTTAATATGGTTTAATATGGTTTACTATGGTTTAATATGGTTTAATGATGGGATGATTTGCTGGGATAATGATGGGATAATACTGGGATATTGATGGATATACCCTCTGGTAATTTGTTACATAGCTATTGAGAATGGCCCATAGAAATAGTTGATTAGTTGATTTACCTATCAAAAAATGGTGATTTTCCATAGTTATGTTAGTTTACCAGAGGGTAGTTTATCAATGATATAGTTTGATAATGATATAGTTACTATAGTTTGTCAAGACTCCATTGGGTGATGTTGATGCTTGTCAATGAGACCTGTACTCAAGCCATGTCAAGTTAATAGCTGGGCTAGGGCCAGGGTCCTATTTGCTAAACGAATGTACAAATGAAGGTTGATCCAGGGATGGTCATTGACGTATGTTGTGGGTTCCTCCAGAATCAATGGCCATGACTCAGGATCCGATTGATTGGAGGTACCTACCATATATAAGGCCTGTGTAAGGCCTATGGAAGAGGATATACCCCCCAAATATGGCCTTATAACAGTACGTCCATTTTAGGATCCTGAAAGTCCCATTGATAAGAGAGCTTGGCTCACTTTTGTTCATCGTGCTACATGGTTGGAGCACTATTTCCAGGTCTCTCCAGTGATATTAAGATATCCCAGATGATTCACATCTCATCAAGACACAAACAAACACTTCCGCAAAAAGCTGAACTGCGCAAAAAAAACGATGTAATTCATCCTTAGCAGCCACATTCCAAGTTGGATGTGGGTTTGTCTCAGAATAGGGTAGCCGGTAGCCATTCCATTGGTAGATCATCACTTTTTAATGAACACAAACAATTCTTGGGGATACTGCTAATTGGACCAATAATCACTTTCAATTAACTATTGGATCAGGTATCAATGGTCCAAGTTTGGTGCCAGTGAAATGGTGCCAATTACAACATTTTTTAAACTTTTTCAGTGATGTTCATGAATCAATTACGGCACCACTTAACTATTTTCTTACCCAATCATTTTCCATTATAAAATGATGCGCCTTGCAAATGCATCGTCCAGAAATCTTCGTCGCCAGGACGAACTCTTCTGCTTGGCCATCTCCTTCTTGCTGGTGCAGGTTTCGGAACATTTTTCGGACTGAAAGCACCATGAATTCGTGCTGAATTCGGCATGAAAAGCTTAAAATTTGAGAAACATTGGGATGCAATTGATTTGACTGATTTAATCTTGAAATTCAATGATTTTCAATGGTGTTTTCGTCCATTTTGTGTAGCTGAAACAGTGCGAAACTTTGACCTCACCAGTTAAAATAAGTGATTTTTCAACCCTTGAGAGTGAGAGCGTCCAAATCCCTTCCAATCATCTCTGATTCCATGTGCCGCTACATGATATGAAATGATGATCAGTCGATAAGACAGCCTCTGACCTATAATTTACATTAATTTACCATATTCGGGCTTATATCATCTTATATCATCATCTATGTAAAGTTATGAACATCCATCAATCCCAGGTGTTTGGATGTGGCTTTGTCTGAAAATAGCTTATATCCCCCAAATTTGATTCTTAATCTGTATTTTCCCCATTTTTATGAGATTTTACGTGGGTTCATCACCGTATTTTCCCAATTTGTTTATGGCTATGGATTGGAGGGTAAGCCCCGTAGTGTCAGCGGCCAGGCTCTACGCTTCCAGGTCACAGGGATCTTACCCACCAAGCGATGCCGGCTGGTTTATTTGTTGTTTGGTGCTTTATTTCATGGGAAAAGCCTGGGACAATTGGTGTTAATTCCATGGGAAAACCTGGGAAAATTGGATGATTTGGTACCCGAAATAAAGGTACCCCATTGATGGAAATTTCGATGTGGATACGAAGTAAACCTGAGATTGGGATGCTGGGATGGGATGTTAGAAAATCTGAGGAACAACAACGTTTGCAGATTGTCTTATCAGTATCCGAGGACATCGATTTTACGATAGTGGGAGTATGACCACAAAGGCAAGGGATGTTTCACCAAAGCCATAGGGGACTTGGCTTGGCTGTGTTGGTTGACAGTAGAGCCGGTTCAAAACAATGCCCCAACAAATGGATACACACACATATATATATATATTATACTAACTATACTGCAAATCATGGAAATTGTGCAGGCTTTGCAAGTTTGATATTTTGATCTGCCCAAAGTCAGGAAAGTTTGCACATTGAAATCGGTCATATTTATGCGGCCAGTGGTAACTTTCATAACTTTGCTCACGATCTTTGGCCACTTGTTGGCCAAATCAAACCGTATTTTTCTCGTTCCCCATAAGAAAACCATTCCAAGATGTTTTCATGTCATTAATTTTCAGCCTAACAATGTAGTATTTAAACCCAATCAACATCAAGAAACCATCCCTCATAATTACTAGCAACCATTTCTAACATTTTCCCTCATAATTACTAGCCATTTACCAGCCATTTTCTAATGATCTTAGGGATGTTTTCTTTTGGTTTTCCCACATGACTGGCCCAATGATGTTCCCTGCCTCTGCAGTTCATCATCAAATTATCCCGACGGAAGTGCCATAGGCCGGGGGTAGTAGCTGTACGGTAAAGAAGGCCCCTAGAAGTGAGACACCGCCAAATCTGTTTATGGAAATCATTAAATCATCATTTTTGATGGTTAAATTCATGAATATCCCATGAAACTCACCATGAATATCCCAATAATATCCTGCTAACTCATCATTTTTGATACTTAGATTCGATTCCTGTTGATGCTTAAGTCCATTCCTAACCATCCCATGAATATCCCATTAATATCACCTCTGTTGACCATTCCGAATGACCTGGAAGAAACACTGCCGGGGTCGTCATCGCCAGGGCTGGTCTCGAACCTGGAGAGGTGCGGATGGTCGAAATCTCATGGGGAGATCGGGAAAAAAGGGCAGGAAATATGGGAAAATACATGGGACATCTAGGGATATACTGGGGATACCCTCTGGTAAACTGTCACATAGCTATGGAACATCACAATTTTTAACGGATAAATCCACTATAAATGGCCATTTTCAATAGCTATGTTAGCTTACCAGAGGGTATCATTGGGGATATAATGGGAAATTAAGGGGAACATAGTTTTCCATTGCTTCAACTGGTCGAAGCTGAGGTTGTTTTGAGTTTTTTTTTTGGGTTTGCCGACGGTTTACTGTAGATATGCCACTAAACGATACGAAAAACAAGTTTGACTTTTAGAAGGGGATCAGCAAGCCAGCAAGATGCGACTAGCTCAAAATGAGTCAAATTGATCCAACAGAATAACATGAGGCGCATATGTTTGGTCCCTCTTTGAGGAAAACATCATTTGTTTGCCATTGATACAGCCTCATGTGGAAGGAAAACATCTTTGAGGTCCGACTTGTCCACAGTTTCAGCACTGAAAAAAGTGAACAAGATTGAGTCATTAGACATACACTGGTTGATTGCTTAATAACGGGACTTATACTAATAGATAATATGGTTATATAAAATAAATATCCACATACTATGATATTAGATATATATTGCTAGTTGCTATACTATGGTATTTATAGATACTGAAAAATATCACTGGTTATTGGAAATCACAATGGATAACCCATAGTGGGTCCATCAGCCTTGGTCTGTAGCACGCGGCTAGTGCACACACAGCATCAAAAAAGGGCCCCCCACAAGTCTCATCATTTCCCGCGTTGTTTTTTTTTAAATATGTATGTTCATGTTTTGGGCACACCCAAATACATTGACCCTAATTCTTAGTACTAAAATCTACGGTGAAATTCCAATTAGCCTTCGTGGTCATCAAATGTATCCCGCTGCATTCCCATGAAATGGTGGGTTTCTACCCTCTGAATTTGCAGGGTAAATCTTACATGTTCTCTGTTCTATTTTTGGATAAATCCAAATACCTTAAAACATAAAACATTGTTGGCTACATCCCATGTATCTATCCCAAGTCATATCCATTAATTACTGGTTGGTGTTTTGGAACATCATGGGATTTCTATTATTTGATTAATAGATTCTATTATTTGATTCATCATGGTTAAACTATGGTGATTAATCATGGTATCTATCCCAAGTCATATCCCGTTGCCATGGCAGAACTTCGGAGCACGAGAGATCTGGACCGTCTATGGGGAAGCTGTGCTCTTCGCCGTCCCTTCGGTGGAGTTCTGGGCGATTTGTATGTCAAGCAGTTTTCGATAAAATCCGTTCTGTTCATCTATACAGGTCCTGCAGACAAACAAACGCGGATCTAATATTTATATATATATATTATAATATAATATTATATGTAATAATTATATTATATAATACAATATTATATATAATATATAATATATATATAATATATAATATATATATATAATATATATATATATTATAGTTGACATCTTTCTTCCGTCTTTATGATGAACATACCTGTTTGATCGCATCATTTCCTCCGTGTTTGTCGCTTATATATAAAAGTGATTTTCCCATTGAATCTTAGTTTTTCGTGGTACAAGTATGTCATGTGTCCTATTTCTTCTGTTGAAAACCCGTACATCATACATTCTTTTGGGCAGAGGGGTGAATTCCTGCATTTGTGTTGGTCATCTCATACTTAGTGATGGCTTAAAGCGGATCTCGTTATCTCGTTTCATCAAAATGCGTCCAAAAATGATGAGGAAACATCAACATCCGCTGAAGCTACATGTTCAAATACGTTTTTTTAAAGCTATAAATAGGGCAAATCCATCTAACCCCCCTCCGCTGTCAGCCTACATGTCAGTGCAAATTTCAACTCGCGTTTCTGCGAGTGGGGATCACTCATGGTATTTTCAATGGGAATTATGGGATTGGTACCTCCAATTTGGATTCCTGGAATGGCCATTCGGCCATTGGTGTTTTCTCCAAATGTCAACGCGCCACCCTTGGCATTTTTCCACTCACACAAAATGAAGTGTGAAGTTACTTAATAAGTAACTGAGTGGTAAACCTGTTTTCAGTATGTGCTTCAATGGCACTGAATAGAGGTCTCAACAGTAAGATTTCCAGGTCGCGTATTTTCCCAGGAAATCAGCACTATGATGAACATACCTGTTTGATCGCATCATTTCCTCCGTGTTTGTCGCTTATAAAAGTGATTTTCCCATTGAATCTGAGTTTTTCGTGGTACAAGTATGTCATGTGTCCTATTTCTTACGTACGCCACTTTTCTATCTCAGGTCGCCACTGTGGCCGTGGTCCTGTCCGGCCGGACGGGACGTTTGGCGGATCTACTGCGAGGCATGTGGTGTATCTGTGGTATATGAATAACTACATTTCATGGGGATCTAATGGGGATCTAATGGTGATTTAGTGGGAAGAATAGTGATATAACTGATATAACCAAGCAAAATGATGATACTGTGGTTGCGAAATCCTGCACCAGTTGATGGTAAAGATCTCATTATAGGGCTTCAACCATCCTTTTGGTGCAGGATTTTGCAACCATCGTATGTTTCTTGGGTTCTCATTTTGAGAAACAGCCATATAGTAGGTATCCGATATGAAGCTGTCAACAAATGACATCCTTCCAGAACCTTCCAGAAAGTTAGGCTGAAGACTGGTTGTATGACTCCCCTAAAAAACATAATTTACATCAACCAGTATTAGGGGAGTCATATAACTTAGAGTATTAGGTTTTGAATCCCCTGAAGACTCTTGGTATTTACACTTGAGGTATCTTAAAGTGTTGCTTTCTACTTCGCAACATCAGGGCCCAAGGCACGATTGGCAGCAAAAACTCAATGAATGAGACCCAAGTTGAGTCAACACTGCAATGGCAATTGGGTGAACACAACTGTTCCCTTTTTGGGGTTCGCGCAATGGCAGGTACATTGTCCATGTCTTTCGCTTGGTGTTTGCTCTTCGCCTCCCGGTGGATGTTTGAGCATGGGGACTCAGTGTTGTGGCGGAATTTCCCTCTGGTAAACGTTAACAAAAAACGATGGAAAATCACCATGTTTAATGGGTAAATCAACTATTTCTATGGCCATTTTCAATAGCTATGTTAGTCATTACCAGAGGGTTGTTGAAGATATTGGAAGCAGGAAAAAGGCCGACAGTCCACCAACATAGTTTTTGTATGTTTTTTGTTGTGGGTGAAGAAATCAAAGGCCTGTGTCCTCCATGCTTACAGCGGAGCCATTGGTAGCTTGTGCAGCCAAGCTGCACCGCTCCAAAAAGATCGAACACATTTTTAAAATCCAACTAAAACAGTAATTGAGCCTTTCCTTAGAAACCACAAGCATCCTACAAGAACAATAAATTCTACACTATGCCAATAGTACTAAAAGCCTACAATGTGAGGCCCCGCAGTTATAAGTTGGTTTATAAGCCCCAGTAACTATAGTTATAAATACCATAAACCATAGTTATTGGAGTTATAAACCAACTGAACGCTATCTTGGGGGCCTCACATTGTACCTTTTTCAGGAATTACTCTTAGTTCCTTCCTACCATTTTCCGAATCGTGTCCTTTTCCAGTGCTAAGGTCATGGCCACTGCTGGTGCGCTTGCGCATTTCGCCTTTCAGCATTGAAGGTGAATGAACGGACTAAGCCCATGGATGCTGAGTAGCAACATAGGGGATTTGTGAGAAATATATGGGAAATATAGAACATTTATAGAATATATAGGGGATAAAACTGACAAAACCAACAAGAATATGGATTTTTGGGATTTATGGATATTTATGGGATTCATGATGGACTAGATTATTATAGATAGAACATATATGGGATAGAACCTAGAAGAATGGGGATATAATGGGATAATGGATCGAGTTAGATGAGCCATTAAAAATACCTCTGTTAATGTATCAAAAAAGGAAGTTGTACTAGCTGGCTAATTGGGGATTCTTGTAAGCCAGAACGAGTTTTTGAAAACTAGCCATGGTATTTTTCATGACTCATTTGGTATACCCTCTGGTAATTTGTTACATAGCTATTGAAAATGGCCATAGAAATAGTGGATTTACCCATTAATAGCATGGTGATTTTCCATCGTTTTTTGTTAACGTTTACCAGAGGGTATATCCATGAATATCCCAGTCTTATCCCATCATTATCCCAGCAAATCATCCATATTAAATCCTACAAAAAAACCATAGTAAACCCACTAAACCTCCATTTTCCTATGGTTTTTTGGTCGAGGTTGCCGCTGCCAGGTCGTTTGATTCTGTCCCTGTTCCTCTCGGCCTTTGCATGCCAGGGGCACCCAGGGGCACCCAGGGGCACCCAGGGGCACCCAGGGGCATCCAGCATGGGAGGAACTGCTGATACGATACCAGATATTTGAAAACAGGAATTTTGGATGGCCCTGCTCTTGTCATTTTTTTTTTGGGGGGGGGCTTTGCCATTTCGTTTCAAAAACAGCTGTTGTCACCCTCCAAACTCAGGGTATCGCTTGACACCAACAATTTTTTTTGCATGGTGTCGGGCTATGATTCCCAGAATTGACCGGAGAAGAGAATCGAATTACAGGAAACCGTGTAAATTCTTGGCTTGGTATCTCCATTATGCTTATTGGTATGTAAAATTTCCATGGTATTCCCATGACACATCCATATCTGGTTGGTGGTTTGGAACCATGGAATTTTGAATGACTTTCCATATATTTTGGGAATGTCATCATCCCAACTGACTCCATCATTTTTCAGAGGGGTAGGGCTCAACCAATGTATACCACCAACCAGATATTTCCCCGAAGAAACCATTGCTTTCCCTGGGGATTTTCGGCCCCCCGCCCTGTGCCAGGTTCAGTGATCATCGTGCTCGATCAGATCGAGGCAATGGGGCGCCATTCTTGAAGGATCGAGAGACAAAATCACTGAAACTTTCCATATCTTTCATGGCACTTAAGTAGTTTCAATAATTTTTCTTTGAGATTTCTTTGAGATTTTGGGGAAGTTGAACATCTAATTTTTCTTTCTAAACAAAAATTGGGAAGGGAACATCCAAAACTACCAGCAGTTCTATAGGGGAAGTTTCTTTGAAGCCATGGTTTTTACGAAAAACCAGTGATTTTGATGGCCTTTTCCCAGGAAAGCCATGGAATTTTGGGCCCTTAACTCAGGATGCGGCCACGGGAGACGATCGACGTGTGACGCATAAAATTGCCTGGGGAGCCCAGATGTTGGGACCCATGGATGGCCCGTTGTTTTGGGAAAGATGTTGGGAGTTTCTGGGGATTTCGGGGAGGTGATTTTCCGTGGGATTTCGATGGGAGATAAGTTGATATAAGATGATATAAGATATCTGAAATCCCATGAAATCTTAGATTTGGGTTCTGAAATCGCTGAAAATGTTGACATTGTTGATATAAGATGATATAAACATATACTTGCCATAAACAACAATCTGAGATTTGGGTTTGTCTGATTTTTTCGGGTAGATGGACGAAATTGTTGGCTTTTTTATATAGGAAAAAGATCATGAGTCAGCCATGGAAGGTGCTTGATCGGACAACCTATAATGGATAACATGGGATGATCCACCATGGGGCTGGTATATAAAAACCTACAATGACTGGGTGATTTTGTTCGGGCAAATGTTGGGATTCATATTCCAGCCCCATGGAGCATATGGGTTACTAAGAAACTAGGGGTTTGATCGATTTCCGCGACGCGACGAATTGTTGGTTTCCATGCGATGTTTGAAGAAAAGAAACTTGCCAGAGACATGTTGTTTCTCTGGCACAGATCCACTTCTGGAGCAGACTCTAACCTTGGTTTGCTTCCAAAAATGAAACGACCTGGAGTTTTTTGGCGGGTGTTGGACGGGGAGGTATCATTACCACCATCTTTTGTTGAGTAATATCAGTATATCCTACCAACAAGAAACCCGAACTTTGCTGAGTATGTATCATCCTCTGTGTATATGTCATGGTCACCACTAAGATGTGGAGTTTATATATATAAATTAATACATATGTATATTATATAATTATATATATATATATATGTATACATACATATGATATCTATATAGAATTATATAGATATATCATGATATATCCAGAAAGCTTCCAGAATATCATGATATCGCATCTGAGGTCAAAAACATCGTGACAGGCCGGGGTGGTTGGTCCGGTCCCGAAGAGCTCAAGTCCCGAAGAGCGTCACGTACGAGTGGTCAAGAAGTCCATAACAATGTGCTACGTATAACCCATAAGAAGTGGGTCAGTAGGGGTTGAACTGACAATATTATTAATAAGAGGGTTAATAGTGCGTCAATAGTAGGGGTTGACTGGGTCATAAGAGTAATAGTATTAACAATATTGACCACTATTGACTATATGAGAGTGGTCAATAGTCTTATAACCCATAGGTTTTTGAGATTTATTGACCACAACCTCATTAACTGGGTCATAAGAGTCAGAATTGACCATTGACCCCTTGCTGCCAGAAGGTGCTGTGGAAAACTGAGAGACGTGCTGAGTAAAAGCGTGACCTATTTCTGACAGAAGGACGATATATCCATGGTGACATTCCGCAAAATCATCATTTTGCCATGTTGGTTTCACGCCTCCTGTTCCCCATTAACATGGCAATAGACTTGGAGTAGCCAAGCCATTTTTAGATCATTTCTAATGATACAATCCAATTATTTCTTGGTTGAACCTCCAATTTTTGGACACATCTTCATAATCTCAATATTGTTTTTGCAATATATATATATATATACATATTATTATATACATATTAGACACAGATTCATTCCTTGGTATATCCATCATATTTCATACATCCACAATTTCTATCACGTTTTCGGAGAAATCGGAGAAATCCCAGGCCTGGTTTCAGCGTTTCCTTACGAAGCGTTTCGGCGCCGGCCAGGTCTTAGCATTCTGGTGGGATTTACCTGGGAGACCACCATGGATGGATGCACAGCTTCTTGGAAAAATGGTTGGTGGAAAAATCTTCACCGGAAGTGACCGGTTTAATATGGTTTAATGATGGGATGATTTGCTGGGATAATGATGGGACAATACTGGGATATTGATGGAAATACCCTCCGGTAATCTGTTACAGTTTGTTATGGACAATGACCCATTGAAATAGGTGATTTACCGAACTTAAAAGTGGTGACTTTCCATCGTCTTTTGTATGCTTACCATATATTATCTATCCCGTAAATCATTCCATTGATATAGAATTATCATGATTTATAGATCATATTTTTTTGATGTCCGGTAATTGGAAGTTATCACCACTGCAAACTGATGTCATATTTTTAAGGCCATCGTTTCCCATGGTTTCGACCGGGTCAGCTGGCCGATCCCCCCAACTGATTCGCCTTTGTCAATGCCTTGGTTGAACTGTTTTCACCATGGGTTTTCCCACCAAATGACTGGGGCTTTCCGGTTTTTCGGATGTTCCCGACTAAACCAATCAAATGACGAGGACTTTGTTCTTGTTTTTGATATATCAAATTCCCTAATTCACTATACTCTGTTGCTTATTTGGGCGTTATCCGAGTTGTTTTTGGCGAATTTCACCCATATCCTATCAGGTGAGTTTGTACAACAGAGATACCCCAAGGTATGGCCATTCTAGGGGGAACATGTTTTAAACTCTTGGATGATTAGAGATGATTCGAGCAATTTCCTAGTTTTCTGATCAAAGATTTACTCATTTTTTTGGGGTCAAAGTTACACTATCCAAATAATTTCATCATATTCCATCAGATTGGTCAACAACTATGGAATTTTCCAACATATGGAATCCATACCCCAGGAAGTTGTTATCATACTCCATTTTAGTCATCAAATGATGATGGAACCAGATTTACAAATGATTTTAACATAGCTATTGAACATCACCATGCTATTAATGGGTAAATCAACGATTTCAATGGGCCATTTTCAAGTTCGCAAACTGTTAGTTTTACCAGAGGGTATATCCATCAATATCCCAGCAAATCATCCCATCATTAAACCAGCAAATCATCCCATCATTAAACCATATTAAACCATATTAAACCATATTATCCCATCAGGTTGGTCAAAAACGATCCATCCTCCAGGATTTTTGTCCCCGGCTCCCAGGAAGCTGTGGTCTCCATCACCCACGGCCATGAAAGACGTCGACTTGCCGCTGGTTTACGGCAGGTTTTGGTGGGGAGAAGTAGCTGAAGGAAACTCATCCCATTTCGTAAATGGTGGAGTAAGTGGGTTGAAAAAAATCTGATTGGTGATTTGGAACATTTTGGAACATGACTTAAGTTTTTTTCCATCATTTTTTTTGGGATAATCTTTCCCAACTGACTAATATGGTGGAGTAAGTGGCTTTACCATGGTTTACCCTCTGGTTCACAACCGTGCCAAAAACCAAATAATTTGATTTTTGTGGTTCCACTCGTGAAAATCCAAGTACCCTCTGGTAAACATACAAAAAACGATGGAAAATCACAATTTTTAATGGGAAAAACAACTAATAAATGACCATTTTCAATAGCTATGTTAAATTACCAGAGGGTAAATATCTCAGTTGTACATGGAATTGAGACTTGTAAATTTAATAAATCAGAATGGCCAATGGTCAAATCAGGAAATTCTTAATGTGATTACTGGACAGTGAGGGTGTTCTCATAGAATCTGGTTGATTAGCCAGTGCTTTGTGGTCCCCGTTGGTGTGGATCATAGGTGGGGATATATTCCGGTTATCCATGGCGCAAGCCACCTAGAGGATTGATGATCAGGGTGATTAACCACTGAATACATAGGATGATGCTCCAAGTTTATTCTTAGAGTAGTCCCAGTTTGGCAAGTGCGATAGTTTGGCAAGTGCGATAACCATGGCGAATTATCCAAAAATGGAATAAGACTCTCTTGTACAATCTAATTCTTGGTTTGGGGATTTTGGGGTCAAAAGAAAGTACGGATAGATGTGACTCATTTCAATTTGCCATCCAAAAAACCTTGCCAGCATAGATTGTTCTGCTGGTATGTGATGCTGGTGCGACCAAGGTCTCTAAGTTGATTGGAAGCTTGGCTTGCAATGCTGGGGTGGACCAGCACAAAGGGGGTTCCTATATCATTTACTCTTTGGTAAACATACAAAAAACTATGGAAAGGCACCATTTTTAATGGGTAAACCAACTATAAATAGCAATTTTCAATAGCTATGTTAGTCTACCAGAGGGTATCAGGAATCAGAAAGTAAAGCTTCGTAATTGCGCGGCATACAATTGAAAAGCGCAAGGAGGTGGTAGAATAATGAGATGTAGTGGTTTTGGGACCCTCAGATGTCATGTCAGAAAAATCCTAGCACAAACACACATTGTTTTCTCCAGCATGCAACTAGCTGTTGACATTGCCCATTTCTGATCGTTTCTCTTCAGATACTTCCATCTGTTAAGTGGTTCCGGGATGTTCCGGGACAAAACTGTTTGCTACTGCTACCCTCTGGTAATTTAACATAGCTATTGAAAATACCCCAATTATAGTGAGTTTTCCCATTAAAAATGGTGATTTTCCATCGTTTTTTGTTAACGTTTACCAGAGGGTATGCATTTTCAAGACAGTGATTTCCATGGATTTCCAACATTTTCCTGCCCGGGTCATCCTGGTGTCGTGCCATGGGTCATATCTTCCAAACAGGTTGTTTCATCATCTTACTGGTGGTTCTACCTGCATGGCGGAGGTTCGGAAAAACGCGTGGCTGAAGATTTGGTGTCCTCATAAATTGCATATATTTATGCTTATAGTTATGTATACCTTAGCTGGGACTTGCTAATTCATCAACGAGTGTTCTGAACTTTCTCGAGCTCTACGTCCTGATTCTCATGCTCATGAAGATTGATGAAAAGTGCGATTCTGGAGAATTTAGTGGGATCTGTTTGGGTCCTTACGAGAAGAAATCACAGACATTCGGGGATTGTATGTGAATCTCCAAGTCCAAGTCTTGATATTTTTTGGACGCGCCAAAAAAAAATCTGTGTGCAGTGCAGCTGTGGCTTGCTTGTGAGGTATGGCATTTTTCTGCTTGGGAGGGGGTTGTGAACCTGTGCTCGCAGGTACATCCTTCATACCGTTTTTAAACTGATGAAGTACAAAAAGGACACACGACATGCGTGGAAGGGCTGAACTTGGGTGACCCCCCAAACAAACATCGACAAACAGATTAAATAGATGCGAATGAATGCTAATGATTCTGGATTGACGACTGATGGATGATCTTTGATGATCTTTGTTGAATTTTGTTGAGCTGATTTAAGGTGATTGTTTATTTTCCCAATGGGAAATCCACCAGAACTGGGGAATCCAAAAAGTGAATCTATAGTGAATCTATAGTGCATATGTTTTATTTTTGGGGGACCCTTTAAATCCTTTAAGCAAATCCAAGTTTTGTTGAGCCATGGCACGGACAACTTTGGGGCGGAGGAAGTGGACCCTGCAAAGCCCGCTGTCAATGGCATAATGGCCACATTCAAGGCCCAACATGTGAGCAGTGGCTGGTCAATTATACTAGCCATTACTAGCTTTTCTATATATTATATATATATATATACACAATTATACATATATATATATATGTTACATATATATATATATGTTACATATATATATATATATACATGTTACATATATATATATGAATATATACACATGGGTGATTATCATAACCCGTTGGAATCCCGTTCTTAATCAGCTCGCTGTCAACTCTCAAATTCCCAGTCGGTGCATTCTTTTCAGAAGGCCTGGAGCCACTCGATGATTTTCCCAGCGAACTAAACCTCCTTTGATAGCGGATTTTCCTACGAAAAGCACCATTTACAGAGGATTTGCTCAAAATCAGCCATTTGATGGTTAGATTACCAGAGGTTCAGTCCTCTATTGTTGATTTTGGATGCAAGTTACCCTTTCAGAGTCAAACTTTGGTACCAATTCACCAATCAACATGGGGATATTAACAAGTCCTGTATTTTATCCTTCCGTTGAGAAGCAAAATTGCCAAAATAACGGGATTTTACCATGAAAATCAGCCATTTCATGGTCAGATGAGTCAGATTTTCCCATGATGTTCCTATATTTTCCCATGATTTTCCCCATGATTTTCCCATGGATTCCCCCTATTTTTTTTTTCCCACCGCCAGGATCAGCGTGCAGCCTGGAAGCTGGCCGAGAAACTGCAAAAACTGGATCCAAAGAGCCAGGAACGAGACCATCCGGTGAGAATTGCAGAAATTAACAGTATCTGACATAGATATACTATGTATACATACATACATATATATATATAGCATATATGCATATATATATATATATAGATAAATATTTGGATTCATATTTTTTGTAAGTTTGGATTCCAATTGGGAAAAAAATGACTCGACTGGCAGCTGGCAGCTAGCTACGACCAGGTTTTCATGGGCTACTCGCGGTATGAATTTTGGTAGTTGCCTTGTAATGTTCTGAGGCCCAGCAGAAGTGGTTTCGTTTTTTAAGCATTCTATTGGAATACTATTGGAATATAGATACATAATACTATTGGAATATAGATACATGTATAATATAAATATATGTTTTTCTCAGTCATATTTTTGTGCATTGCCAATGAATAAACTTGGAAGAATGTGGTCAATGATGGTTGGTCAAAAGTGGGACTAACCCCCAGCTAGATTCATGAGTTACACCCATTTACGATTCCTGAGAGGTCAAAGTTGCAGAAACAGCTGAAACACCTAAGGTAAAAGTAATGATATCTTACATAGCATTACACCATCTTCCAGGATATTTTTTCTGGTTGGGTGGTTTCACACTTGTTAATTTATTTATCCTCTGGTAATTTGTTACAGTTAGCTATTGAACATGGCCATAGAAATAGTGAGTTTTCCCATTGATAGCATGGTGATGTTCCATCGTTTTTTGTTAACGTTTACCAGAGAGTATCCATTGTTTCATGACCATTGAAATATCCCTATGATATCCCGTTGAAATCCCATTAAATCACCATTTTCCATCATTTTCCAACGATTTGTTTCCCATTTTTGTAGCTCTGTTGGTATCCCAAAGAAATGGAGTGACGATATCCCAAGCAACTTATCAGTTTGTAGAATTACATCACGTCGTATTTGAATATGGGCGTTTAAATATTTTTTTAAAATATTCACGTATTTTTTTTTGTTGGTGCTTAAATTGAATATTAACCTTTAGATTTTTAACTTTGGTGTTCTATGATATTTATATCCACCCATGATTGTTCAGTTGAGTAAACAATACCAGTTAAATTATACCCGATACAATATCCTCATTCTGAGCCACATCTATACACAGTAGTTTCAAGAAATGAGTTTTGGGGTTAAACCGTAATTTGATAGATTTGCAGATCTGTATCCAACTTCAAATTTTATAGAGGCCCCATGTCATTGGGGTTCACCCATTTTTAACTTTGTAGTGATGCTCCCTGGCCAATGTTTCGATCACTTTTTCACCTTTCTCATCCATCATTTTACCACTTGGATGCGCCGGCCCAGTTCGTAAGGAGTTTATAACCCATGTATGATTGAGAATATTCCATATATAAGATGGTTTTTACCTTACTATGAATGAGATGCACATTTTATCCACTGCATCCCTAGTTTTGCTGGATATTGCCCCTTGTTTTCCCCACATGATCATGGTTAACTATCCCTTTATCTGACCTGTTTTAATGGTTGATGACCAAGCCATAAAAGTGACAATAGCTACACACATGATTTTAACATAGTAAAACAATATGTCAAACACATACTATACAGATCTGGTTGGTGCTTTCGAAATGTTTCGAACATGAATTTTATTTTTCCATATATTAGGAATAATAATCCCAACTGACTAATATTTTTTCAGAGGGGTTGAAACCACCAACCAGCTATATATACATATACACATAACATATTACGCCCCTTTAGACTACCCTCTAAGCGTATTCCCTATGATGTTTACATTCGCCCATCTTGAAATGGCTAAGTCTCACCTTACATTACCTAGTAGTTGAATGAGTGTATATGCCATAAAAGTGTCCCCATTGGAACCATACATATACAATTTCTATCAGATCAGGTTCTGCACTTTCCACCCTCAAACAAATAGAATATGTTTCTTAACATAACCACAAAAAACATGACTACGCCTCTACAATATATATATGGGGGTTTCTTAAAGTCGGGGATCCCCAAGTGACCATAGGTTTCAATACGTTCGGAAAAGGTCATCCATGACGACTGGATGATGGGGGGACCCCCCACATGCATCCGCCGGCCTTGCAGGACGTTCATGGTTTCGAATCGGACAGCAGCACTGAATCGGTAGCCGAACCGGAACTCACCTGCTGAGCGGAGACTGAAGTGGTGGAGTAATCTTCTCATCCAAAGCAATCATGGTTGGTAGAAGTTAGTATGTCAGTGTAATGCAATGTGATGCAATACAGTGTATGTAATGTAATGTAAAAGTGTGTGTGTGTCTCTGTTCATGAGCCAAGGATTATTTTGTGATACTGTTATCACAATATATTGTTCAGGCGTTTGACTCATGTTTTTTAATGTCAATGTATTTGAAATGTGTGCGTTTTTTCTTCAGAAGAACCTTGTAAAACTGTGCAGCTGGCACTGATGGTCAGCATCGTTTCGATTTCTGACAAAGGCAAGAAATCGGCCCGCAGTTTCAAAATGCCGACTGTGCTGTTGGCCAATAGCCAAGCGGGCGAAAAAGGCGAGAAAAAGGATAGAGACTCCACCCAAAAATTAGGGGCTTCATAGAATTTCCAAACAATCACTTGAAACTGTCCCAATGTAGTTCATTTTGGCATGGTTCGGTTGCCTTTTCCTGTTGACTGGCTGGTGAGGTGTCCATCTAGATTAGTAGCATGTCCCTGCACCATGGTGCATGGGTGCATGGTGTGCGGACTTACCGGTCAGATGTTTCTGTAAGCAGCTGGGCGGAAATACTGTTGACTTACGGCCGCAGGGGAGCCGGTTGCCAGAGAAAAAAAAAAGGAGGGAGGCCAGGTTAGACTATGTGGAAGACACGCTTGAAAGCCAAGGACAGGGGATCAAGACCTTAGAGAAGATTTTTCTAAGACAGGAGGACAGACGCACCAAAAGGATGGGTCGAGAAGAAAGGTTGAGTGAACCTACTGCCCGAACGAGGAGAAGAAGAGAAGAGAGTCCGAGAGAGACCCACGAGGAGAAAGCGCCTTTAACGGAAAGGCCACGAGGCTCACGCTGCGCAGCGCCTGAGCAAGAAGCCCAGGCAAGTATATGAGAGTTGATGCCAGAGTTTTAAAAGACGATGAGCCCATGACAGCATAGTAGAGTTGAGTTGGTGTTTGCGTTTGAAGCAGCTGCCGTGCAGAAGCTGAAGATCAGGCACATTGCCACTGTAGCTGAGCCATTGCAACAGCCAGTGTTGAGCGCCGGAACATTTTTCAAGAATGGCTGGCTGGACGCCAGGCAGACAGATTCGCCTGAAGCACGACAGAGATGGGCACATGATTCCTGTCCACTACTCAAGGATCGACCAGCAGCTCGGGAGCGAGCCCAAAGCCAGCCAAGAGGTGGAGGGTGTTGGTATCACCTGAAAAGAGCTTTCAGGCCAGAAGCAGATCCATACAAGGAAGGCAGAAATAAGTCCCAATAGATGAGTGCCCATAGAGAACAACTATGGGATTGTTGTGAGGAGTGGAGAAGGCCCAGTATTCAGTGCCCTTTTTCGACATCGCAACTTCTAAAAGTGGTCCGAAGCTGGTGTGTTTTGTACATGTTCACTTCGAAATGTGCTTCGCGCCACAACGGCGTGCACCTTTTCGACACCGCAACTTCCAAAAGTGGTCCGAACGTGAAGTGTTTTTAGCTTTTTCACTTGCAAATGTGCTTCGCGCCACAACTGCGTGCAATTTTTCATCTCTCATCTGGCCAGATGGCTCCGCACCCGCCGCTTTAGCGCGCCTACTTTTCGACCCTCCGGAGCCCCAAATCATTGGAAAAACACAGTGTTTTGCGACTTTCCTACCTTTTCGTGCACCTGGATCTTCTTTCTTCGGAGACTTTCTCTTTTTGATCTTTCTTCTTCTCTTCTCTTCTCTTTTTGATCTTCTTTCTTCTTCTCTTCTCTTCTCTGACTCTTCCCATCTCTGCTTTTCACTGTCAATATTGTCGGAAGTTTGACTTCCAAACTTCCTTCGATTAAAATATCTTGCAGTCTTTACATCATTTCTTATCTTCGGAGGTGATTTGTGTCACCAAAATGGGGAGTTAACCTGATCGCCCATCATTTCCTCGTGGTGGCGGCTTTCCAAAATGTGGCGTATGTGGCTTGAACATGCTTCAAACTCTTCGCAGTCGAATTTCTAAAATATCTAAAACAAATATAGTAAAGCAACAGGACCTATCATCCATGAAATGTGAATCGCCATGATCCTAGACTTGATTCAAGGAACAATGTGATCAATGTGCAGGATCCCCTGTATATTTCATGGGAAAAACTTTCATGATTTTCTATCAATTTTTTCATCATTTCCCCCACCCAGTCGGACATAATTTGCCAAGCATCATATCTTGGGATTTTCCAGGCAGATGAAGTGACGCAGCGCAGTAGCTGGATGCCCGCTACAAAGGATGTTTTTTTTTGTGTTTAAATGTTTTCTCACACCGTGTTTTGCCGCAAAACATGCGCGACAACAAGCTTTTGATGGTTGTTTGATCGTTGAAAATTGGGCGGAAACTGTTTAAACTGTTTCCCTGCAACTTAGACACATTTGGAGCACCACTCTCTGGATGTTTTCGTGAAGTTTCAGCCCTCATCGCTAGAACATGGAGACCTCAACCCACAGTTGCAATCCCGGAAATCCTCAGGAATATGCGTCATATTTGTGGGGGAACGCATGGTAAAACTTGTCTGAAACTAAGTGACATCGGAAAATATACTAGGGATGTAGCTGTGGTGTCACTGGTGCCCTATGGTTTTTCCAGCCAGTGTTCTTCACATCTCTCCGGGGTAAAAAACCTGCGGTGTTGCGTGCGGAAAAAGAGGACACAGCGCGCCGCTCGGGCCTGGTTTATATCGACATGTTGAGACACTTGGGGCTCTACTTGGATGATATTCAGACCCCTGGTTGATCATGGAGGATAGTGTTTATCGTTGTGGGTCCCTAGTCAGCCAAGGTAGAAGTGATAAAATCCTGATCCTTGGACCACATGATCACTATTTTCACTATTATATCTATTATCAACGTGATGAAACTAAAAAGTGATGAATGTGAACATTCATTGGCCGCTTTGGTTCTGTTTTGAACTGAACCATTCTGTTTTGAGAATTTTGAGGTACTCCATTTTGACAATCAGTTTCCCATCCATATTCATCCTTCTGGCTGCAAGTAGAAGATATTACAACCATTGAAGATGGCACGAACATTCATTAACCTTTATCACTTGACCCCACTTGGATGCATGAAGGGAACATTTTAGCACTTGCTCAATCTTTATTTATGATATTGTTGGGGGTTTTAATTGATGATAATTGAGATATACATTACTTGCCCAACAACCTTTTTCACTCTTTCCCCAACGATATCATCAAAGACCACTTTTTTCCCCTCTTAATCATGTATTTGATGATATTGTTGGGTTTTCCCCAAGACGTTGTCGGGTTTCATGTCGGGTCTTGCATTGTTGGTCGCCTCTGTCGCTTCTGTCGATCAGGGCGAGAAGACCAAGACTGTCTGCGGAACGTCTGTGGCTTGGTCAGATGATGGATGGATGATGGGATAAAACCATTAGATGTTTATGTTTATGGACTTTATCCATTTTTCTGATCCTTTAAGTTAATGGTTAATGATGGTTATTAATGATAAAACCATGATGCATTTGGGTTGTGATTTTGGGCATTAATGTGGCTAAAACATGGTAACACCATTAAATGAATCATCATTAACCATCACAAAAAACAACCATTAATAACCATCATTAACCACCACTAATTATCATTAATGTGGGTAAATCAAAAATTAAAACCATCCCCTAGTCATCACCACAAATAGGTTTAGTATTGTTTTACCCACATTATTGGATATTATTGGGATACGACAAGCTATAGAAGTGGTTGGTGGCTTGGAACATTTTTTATTTTTCCATGTCTTGGGAATAGTAATCCCAACTGACGAACCCATATTTTTCAGAGGGGCTGAAACCACCAACCAGTATATATATATATGTATATATCCCAGTAATCCCGTTATATATCCCATCAAATCCCCATTGTTGGTTGGTTGAATCCTAATTTTTGCTATTATGGTATGAGTATCTTGTCCCAATTTCTTGGGATGATTGGGATATCCCCTCATGGCCCAAGTGAGGTTAGTGCAACCTTTCATGCAAGAGTTTTCACATCACAAAAATGGGATCGAAATATTAGGGTTAAAAGTGGGATGCTGATGCAGTCATGACTCAACTGGATCCACATGTTCATGATGGTTGATGATTGAACAGTTCATCAATGATGTTCATCAACCATCATGTTCAATAACAGTTGATTGAAATGCTGAAATTAAATGCGATGACCAATCCCACAATAAAAAAAACCTTTCGATGAAAATGATCAACGGATCATATATCTAAATCTGTCTCCACAACGATAGTTGTCTTACTGGTGCGTGCGTTTTACGCAGGGTTGCTGGATGGGTTGGTGGGGGTTGCTGGGATGATTATTGATAGCGAGCCAATGGATCATTCCCGAAAATTCCCTGCGTAAAGCGCACCAGTAAGTTGTTGGTGCAGTTCCAGCGAACCCATCCATTGACTCCCACAGAAAGCAAGGAGTACATGGCTCCCGAGATCATCAAAAAGGAGGCCTACGGTTTGAGTGTCGACTGGTCCGGCAGCCCGTGAACCAACGGAGAACACGACCTGGGAGGCGGAAGATGGTTGGTAAGGAGAAGCCATCTGGTGTGGCTGGAAGTGTGTTTTGGAAGGCTGTTCTTCAAGGAAAACAGATGTATAAAATGGGATAATCCATGATAATCCCACTTACATAGGGGACTTACGAAGCCATGACCAATAAAAAGATGGCTGGATAGGAGAATCAGACCATATATGGGGCTGCAGATATTGCAACAGTCTGAACAACGATGAGCGATCAACATCGATTCAGGGGATCTGGAAGATGCTGAAACGAATGGAAGCGGTGCCAGGAAGCGGCATCTGAGATTTCACACCTACCCTCTGGTTATTTAACATAGCCATGGGAAATGGCCCATTTATAGATGGTTTACCTATTACAAAAAATGGTGATTTTCCATGGCTATGTTAAATAACCAGATGGTATCAGTTTTTTTAGAACA